TTGCGTTGTGACTTTTTTATTTGCGTTGTGATTATTTTTGTTTGCGTTGTGACTTTTTTACTTGCGTTGTGACTTTTTTATTTGCGTTGTGATTATTTTTGTTTGCGTTGTGACTTTTTTACTTGCGTTGTGACTTTTTTATTTGCGTTGTGATTATTTTTGTTTGCGTTGTGACTTTTTTACTTGCGTTGTGACTTTTTTATTTGCGTTGTGATTATTTTTGTTTGCGTTGTGACTTTTTTACTTGCGTTGTGACTTTTTTATTTGCGTTGTGATTATTTTTGTTTGCGTTGTGACTTTTTTACTTGCGTTGTGACTTTTTTATTTGCGTTGTGATTATTTTTGTTTGCGTTGTGACTTTTTTACTTGCGTTGTGACTTTTTTATTTGCGTTGTGATTATTTTTGTTTGCGTTGTGACTTTTTTACTTGCGTTGTGACTTTTTTATTTGCGTTGTGATTATTTTTGTTTGCGTTGTGACTTTTTTACTTGCGTTGTGACTTTTTTATTTGCGTTGTGATTATTTTTGTTTGCGTTGTGACTTTTTTACTTGCGTTGTGACTTTTTATTTGCGTTGTGATTATTTTTGTTTGCGTTGTGACTTTTTTACTTTCGTTGTGATTATTTTTGTTTGCGTTGTGACTTTTTTACTTGCGTTGTGACATTTTTTTATTTGCGTTGTGACTTTTTTATTTACGTTGTGATTATTTTTGTTTGCGTTGTGTCTTTTTTACTTGCGTTGTAACATTTTTATTTGCGTTGTGATTATTTTTGTTTGCGTTGTGTCTTTTTTACTTGCGTTGTGACATTTTTATTTGCGTTGTGTCTTTTTTACTTGCATTGTGACTTTTTTTTATTTGCGTTGTGTCTTTTTTACTTGCGTTGTGACTTTTTTATTTGCGTTGTGACATTTTTATTTGCGTTGAGTGTCTTTTTTATTTGCGTTGTGAGTTTTTTATTTGCGTTGTTGGTTTTTTTATTGACGTTGTGTTTTTTTTGTTTGCGTTGGGTCTTTTTCTTTTAGTGTTAGTTTCTTTTAAGCGATGGCCCTTTTGGGCCACCGTAATAATCCTATGAGCCATCTTTTCTGAAAATAACGCATAGCAGTTCGTAATAAGGCGCATTGCCTCGAATGCATACTTCTTAGCTCTCTTCCGAGACCTCGAATACAGCATTAAGAGTTTCCAGTTCCTTATCATACGCTCCCCGTCACCTTCCCGTTCTGTATCGTCTAACTGCAAAAGGAAAACACCCAATTGAATCACTTGCATTCCATATTTGAGTATGCGGTCTTGACCTTTCTTCGATGTGGTGTCCTTCCTTGCCACTGGAGGCACTAACGGAGACATAATTTGCTGCGTCACATTCGCTCGTGTTCTATGAAGTGTAGATTCACTAGGTTGTTGCGTGTTTAATTGTGATGTCTTCGGCGTTTGTGAAGAAACTGCATTTATAGTTGGTACAGACTTTGATGTCTCAGATTGGCGGCTTCTAACTTCTGTATTATTTGGAGGAACATATTTAAACGGCTTTGCGGTTAATGTTTTAGGCCAGATGACAGACTTTCCTTGCACCAATTCACTCGTTTGATTCGTCTTGTACACGACATGAACCAAAACGTTCCCGCCAATCGAAAGCTGACTACTTTCATCAGACTTTGCGATTCCAATCGCTAACGGCTTTTTGCATGTGGACATGATAATGACGAAGTCACCTGTTATGTATGGAATAAAATATTATCAAAAAAATTGGTGACGATATCTGCATTTGCAACTTAATTATTGTAGGCCGTTTGCCGTGACCTAAAATATGCCTAGAAAACGATTGTCATTAAGCATGTCGTGGAACAGAAATATTTTCACGGTAACTAACATTTTAGAACACGCTGAATTCAAATCCGAAAAGTTGCCGCTTCGTAGACCCGCAGTTTTTTCACAAATTGCATTTGTATTTTCAGCTCTTCGACGAACAAAAATAAACACGCGCCATTTTGAAATTAAATAACATCACTCAAGAGTATGCCGTTTAACCCATTTTTGCTCCCCAGTTTCCGATGCTCATGACCGAGTTAAGAGTTAGAGCAATGTTATTAAATTTGCTGCAAAACAAACACAGTCACGTGGTTTTAAAAATGGCTTGTCAGAGTGATTTTCAGTTTATTTGCCAGTAAAATTGCTAAAGAATGAGAAATAAAAGTTTAAATTATTTATTTGGCAGAGAAAGCAATATGTGTATATTTTTTGAGTTTGTTTAAGGCTAATGGCCAAAAGATAAGTGAACAATCATCAAGTCATCAACCATGACGATTTATTCAGGTTAATAGCTCTCAGACACATATAAGGAAAGGATTAATTAAGGTCAGTCTGCTTGAAAACTCACAGTAAAATTGTTCCATATCAAGTTTGCTGTTTATGGGAATTATTGTTGGTCATAAGGTGCAAAGTAAATCATAGAAACTGTTATTCAAAAATTGATTTATCAACCCATGGCTATGAAATGTCAAGAAGGCCAACAGAACCATGAACATTTGCATAGTATAAATGATAATTATATCTGCATAACCTGCTGCTGACTTATTTATTCCATGCTTTATTGCATCTTCAAGATTTAGACTGTGCTAGAATATACAGTGTACACACAATAATAAATAATAAGATATACAAATAAGATTCTGCATGAATAGATTGGGTCTAAAGTTGTATTAAATGTTTTTTATTTGTATGTGGCTTTCCCCATTCAGGGCAGAGTACACAAATCTGCATGAGCGCAGCCTGTCATTGATCACATTTAGCTCAACTGCATAGTAGCTATAGCTGAGCACCAGATTAGTGACCTGGGTGTTTAACCTATTGCATGAGCACCAGCACTTTACCACTTGACGAGTAAAATTGTCTGGCATTAGACAGAATAGACTAATAAAGTAGGGTGCATTGGGGAGCAATGCAACTACTTTAAAGGGTTAAGATCCAAGCACGGCTGCCTGGGACTCATGTATTTTTCCTTATTTCTAACAGGTTATAAAACAAAACAAACAGCTTGTTTACTGTCAAGCTGGAAAAACCCAGCATAACAACATATAAAGTATTCCTTTGTCAAATTGGGCAACAAAACATTTATGCCGTTGAATATATTTTGAACTCACAGTTTTGCTTCCACCCATAGCTACAATCATGGCAAAAATTCTGTGGACACTTACAGGTGTGAACGATTAAAGTATTACTGTTCACATACACATGTTGGCATCTTCATCTCCCCCACCAGTCACAGAGCTTTCGCCTAACCGATCTAGAAGCTTTTCAACAGTTAAAAAATGCTGTTTTGCACATATCACATATGTTTGGGCAAGGCAGGTATTTCTATTTTTGCACACACTGTCCACAATATATAATTTTTTCCAGGATTGTAGGTGTATATTCTAATTTAGGGTTGCTTATATGAGCGGCTACTGTAGATCTCAAAACCAGGCTGATCTCTGTCAGCCAAACATCTTTCCTTGTAATTGACGGAATTAATACAAATTTAGACCCAATCTATTCATGCAGAATCTTATTTGTATATCCTATTATATATTCTTGTGTGTATACTGTATATTCTAGCACAGTCTAAATCTTGAAGACGCAATAAAGCATGGAATAAATAAGTCAGCAGCAGGTTATGCAGATATAATAATCATTTATACTATGCAAATGTTCATGCTTTTGTTGGCCTTCCTGACATTTCATAGGCATGGGGTGATAAATCAATTTTTGAATAACAGTTTCTATGATTTACTTTGCACCTTATGACCAACAATAATTCCCATAAACAGCAAACTTGATATGGAACAATTTTACTGTGAGTTTTCAAGCAGACTGACCTTAATTAATCCTTTCCTTATATGTGTCTGAGAGCTACTGTATTAGCCTGAATAAATCGTCATGGTTGATGATTAATTATTTAATCACTTGTTTGTTCTTCTATAGGCCATTAGCCTTAAACAAACTCAAAAAATATACACAGAGAACACCTACCTTATTGCTTTCTCTGCCAAATAAATAATTTAAACTTTTATTTCTCATTCTTTAGCAATTTTACTGGCAAATAAACTGAAAATCACTCTGACAAGCCATTTTTAAAACCACGTGACTGTGTTTGTTTTGCAGCAAATTTAATAACATTGCTCTAAATCTTAACTCGGTCATGAGCATCGGAGACTGGGGAGCAAAAACGGGTTAAACGGCATACTCTGAGTGATGTTATTTAATTTCAAAATGACGCGTGTTTATTTTTGTTCGTCGAAGAACTGAAAATACAAATGCAATTTGTGAAAAAACTGCGGGTCTACGGAGCGGCAACTTTTCGGATTTGAATTCAGCGTGTTCTAAAATGTTAGTTACCGTGAAAATATTTCAGTTCCACGACATGCTTAATGAAAGTGAACGATATCGGGTCACGACAAACGGCCTATTGCGAGACGTTGAGGATGTCGAACACGATAACATTTTCGAGCGTTTTTGTAGCACCACAAAAATTTCCTTCCAACCACACAAAAATTTTGATCTCATTGATCGTTTTTCTCGCAACATTTTCTGACAAGGCTTCGGTTTCTAAATTCAAACACGTAAATCGTAATTGTATTTTCGCCTTCTATTTACATTTTGTTTACACGAAAACGATAAAAATGACGTCAGTAAGAAAAAAAAACCGTTTCGAATATAGTGGAAACGATGCAAAAGATTCGTTTTCTGTATCTGAAACGTTTTGAAATTGGTTGTTTTGGCCTTTTGTTATCGTGTAAACATGAAAATCGCAGGTAATAATACAATGCCGTGTTTGGATGTGGAAACAGAGACTGAAACTATTGCCATATCAGAAAATGTTGCGAGGAAAACGATCAATGTGAACAAGGCGCCTAAACGCTTAATGGTTGAAAATACCAATACAAAAAACGGTCGAAAACGTTACCGTGTACACATAGTCTTGATCCAAACAATGTTTTATCATATACCATGCACGGTTAAATATGAAATCTCAAAACGGTCTCTCAGCCAACGATGCCGATTGGCCTTCGCTCGAAAGGTCCAGACTTCTTATTGTATCTTTATATAGTTGAGAACTATACCACAGTTTTACAATGTTAAATATACATTTCTTTTAATTTCAGTTGAAACTTAATATTACAACAATAATTATAATTATCAGTACAATAAATGATATGTATTAGCTACCTATCCCTATGTAGATTCATATAGGATTTCATGTCGATAAAGTATCTCTCACCTGTGTTAAATTTATGGCTTGGATTATGATGGGCCACAAAGGATTGCAAACCGGTTTGAGCGCTGTCTTCTTTTCTGCGTGTACATTGATTTGCATTATTGCTTGAAATAAGAACTTGGTTTACTGTGGACGACGTCTGTTTTAATGAACTTGGGTTCGCTGAACTATTACTTGTATGTGAAACAACATTTGGTGCAGTGGCTATATAAAAAAAATCACCCTTGATAAACATGTACATTCCAGAAGAGAATAGAACGAAACACGTCACTCCAATATACACCATTGCCACCAGTCCCTTTATTCGCAATAAATGCATGGCGATGCCTTATATGCTAAACACGAATTACAGTACACATGCAATGATCAAAATGTCGTAGATGCCAAGAAATCTTGAAACTTGTATACATGGTTTTTGAGACTGACGTGCAGGATGTGTCGTTATCATATTTAAGACCCCGGAGTATAAATGCAGTATATACTGTACACTGTATAACTTCATTCGTCAATTACATATACATATAGGCATAGACGGATTTTCGGGGGGGGGGTGCTACCCCCAATATTAGCTACAACCCCCCCGAAACAAAATGTACACCCCTCCAAAAAAAAATTCAACCCCCAATGAATGACTTTATACCAATGAATGACTCGTAATGAGTCTAATCAGATAATCATCAGTGCAATTGTGCTTGTAAAAGTTTTTAAGTAAAATTAAGTAAAAGTTTTTAAGTAAAAGCTTTTAAGTACAAGTTTAGTGTTTTTTCAATTTAAGTAAAAGTTTTGAAATATCAATTATGTACAGTACAGTATGGCAGTTCATAGTATTTCAAGTTGCATCATAAATTGTACTCGGATTCAAACAACACAATGTCAATGACTTCATAAAAGTAAAAGCATATTGTGTATTGGGTTTACACTTTACACTTTTAGAAGTTCATTTAACTTTAAGTCTTTAACTCTCTCAAGTCTCAACAGACAATCGGACATGCCAAATCCATTGATATGACAACTTCAAAAAACTTTTTTTCGAAGCTATAAATCATGAATTTTTTCAAATATTTTCTGGGATACTTTGTTTTCTGCTCTCTAGACTCCCCCTCGCGGCCATAGTGCTCCACCCCTAGAATATAGACCTTACTGAGGTTTAGTGACACTTTGTGTTGCTTCAGTCACCTGCTCACGGCTCAACTCCCTAAAATTTCTGGCACCACCCCAGTAAAAAATATGAAAATCCGTCTATGCATATAGCGTTGTCTAAATACAGACCTTGAGAACGTTGATCATAACCAGCCTTTTTTTCTTTCTTCCAATTCCTCTCTACGTCCAATTCAGGTAAGAAAAATTCGTCTACAAAATTCCCGATCACTGTTGTGAGGAAATTCTCTTTAACACGATTGGTACATTGCGGCGATGGAATTGTAATGTCTGGTGGGTTTTCTTTCAGGTTTTTCATACCGGTCCACTCCATAAATGATTCACATAGGTAAGCCGCCGTCACCTCTGACATGAACTGTGCAGCAGCTTTATAATTCTTCTTAACATCTGCATAGACACTATTCTTCCTCAACTTTTGCAGAAGATTATAAAGCGTTCCGATCTCCCTGGCACTCTTGGTGTTATAAAGTTGTTCCCAAGTATACTTAAAAGATAAAAACCTGTTGTTATTTTAGGAAAACTAAATATTGTCACGTAAAAGATTTATTATATAATAGAGAGTGAGATACTGAAAAATACACAATGATATATTTTCCGGCCATATCTTCGCTATTCAAGATATCGATCACGTGGCAGTTTAGTTTTGAGCGTGAAATTTCACATTTTTTTTGCTTGGGACTATATAATAAACAGAACATTACACGGTGGCTTGAAGTTAATCTTCTCGTATTAAAAACAATATTTTACTTACTCGCTGTGCTCGTTCATAAAATATTGTTTTCACCACTCGAAGATAAAAGTCATATCTTCGCGCCGCCGTACAATATCCTCTATATATTTCTGGATACACTATGAAAATTTATTATTGCAAAGCTTTCGGTCCATAGCCAGGACATTCATCAGTGCAACATCATCCGAGCGTCGCAATGATAAAGATTAAAGGTACGCGCTTACGAACCGAAAGCTTTGCAATAATAAGTTATATGGTGTACTTTTAGATGCAAAATTTCAATTAAGTACGAGCGTCAACCAATCAAAGTAACAAAGTCGTGGTTAAAAAGTTGTTGAAAGAGTTTCATACAACCTCCAACAATAGTTTCTTTGTACGCTACTTCGTGGCCATTTTTTGCGTTGTTGGCAGTCTGAAGAAAAAAAATATACTTACAGAAAGAAATGATTGCTTTGAGTGCCATACAGCTGGCACTTCGACTATGTGGTCCAACCTTTCTGTACGAAGATCACAACCAGCTCGCGTTTTCTTTGCCCCTGTCACCCTTTCTCGTCCGAGAAGATCTCCGGCTAATGGAAATTCATGAGATTGTAAAACTTTTGATGCCCGCTTCGCTTTATCTTCGGATGAACTTTTGATAGGAAGTTAAGGTATTCCATCATGTTCATAGACTTTAACCATAGTTTGAGTAAGGTTGTCCAAATATTGGCAGACATCTCCAGTTTTATTCTGATTGTACGGCACAACAGCCATATTTATGATGGTCGACCGAGTCGCCATTTCTTTCCAATACTTGTGAGTAATATGTTTCTCAACTATATGTTTTATTGGCTGCAAACACGGGAAATATGTAACCAAAACCCTTGCTACTAAAATGATGTATTCATGTCACAGCTTTTCAAGTTCGTCTTGCGAGAGAAGATAGTTTTTATTTTCAAATTCATTGATATTGGAAACAATTGGCTTAGAATCACATAAGCCTGTGCTTGACACACGATCAAATGTTAGATATTGTGCTATCCAGTGCATGTCAGCATTCTTGTGACCTGAAAACGAAAATTGTGGGTGTTTTTAGCCAACCTCTTACCCAGGCTCTTTCCTCTTGGGGAGAAAAGACCCTGGCAGACACTGGTCACGTGATCTGCTAAAATCTAGGAGATTTCTAATGGATCTATTACCCAATGAACAACATTCTGATCTTAGGAAAGTCTAGACAAAATTTCATCACAGCGCATCACAAAATTAGTAATATTTCGAAGTTTCGTTGTGAAATGTTGTAAAATGCGGATAATATAGCCTTTCGAAGTGCTGTTTTTCAGTCATTTTGTATTACGCACGGGAAATTGATTTCGTTTTTCAGGGCGCTGTAAAACACAGCGTTTTGTGTTTTATAGGGCCCTGCTTTTTTTCGATCAGAAAGCGGTCTCAATTTCCCGTGCGTAATACAAAATGACTGAAAAACGGCAAACTTTGCAGGGCTATATTATCCGCATTTTACACCATTTCGCAACGAAAATTCGGAATATTACTAATTTTGTGATGTTCTTTCAAGCTGTGATGAAATTTTTGTCTAGACCAAAATGTTGTTCATTATGTAATAGGTTCATTAACTATCTTGGATTCCTTTACGACAATCATACAAAATACAAATTATAAATAAATTAAACCATAAAAAACATTCAAATGTCAAATACTTATTGACCTCGTCTTGGACTGCTGATTAAAATCTGTTAGATTTTAGCAGATCACGTGACCAGCGTCTACCAGGGTGTTTTCTCCCCTCACCCTCCCCTTTTCGCTATTTAAGAAATAAAACACAACAATCCATGTAAATGTACAATGTAAAAACTACAGAAAAAACATTGAATACAGCTAGTCAGCTATACCCATAGATATCTTATATACACTAGATAGTGCATCTAATTATTCTGCCATTCAAAAATTGAAGCCGTGATTGCAGTCTCAGGTCGTTCCCATGAAATGAGAAGATTCGTATGTTTTCTATTTCTTAAAGAGGGAACTTAAACATTAAGTTAACCCTATTCCAAATCCATTTTTAAACTATTCAAATGATGAAAGTTATTGTTGTTTTTAAGCGTTTATTAGCAAGTGGGAACGACCAACATGGCCGCCATCTATTCAAATGGGGGTAACCGCTGGAGTATTCGTGGCTTCAATTTTACTAAAAGAGATGCGCTATCTAGTGTATATAAGATATCTATGGCTATACCCAATCAAAAAGTGATAGAATCAAAGTTGTTGTGTTTTTCCTGTATATGCTGTCTCACACCCAGGCATCTCTTTGTAAACAAAACAGCGATGCGTGTATGCCAAGTTTACATGAAATATTGTAGTGAAGTATCCCTTGTGTAGGAATAAATAGTGGGTTTTTTCCAACGTGTTTCTCCTTAGATGCAAACAACGGTAGCTTGGTTTTATACATTTCATTTCCGGTGAATGAACACGAATGCACACCGATTACACTTTGATTTGTACATTTCATTTCAGTGAATACACACCCAATATGAATGAAACGCGATACATTTTGAGAAAATCGTTAATGGGAAAAAGTAAATAAAACGTCCTTTGATATAATAATATAAAATCAAACGCAATGCACTTTCTCATCAGAAAAATGAAAATTTTCCAGTAGACCCAGTTGGGAAAGCCCCTTAGCTACTTCAATTGGGAAGAGTCCGTCAAACGGACATTATATGGGCTAGCTAACATAATAGACACTTCATTCGTATTACCTATGAGAATAACGTTTGTTAGTATTTTAAAGTCGAAATTATCAAATATAATTCTTAACTCGCGTCCATCATTGACCAGTTTTCTGATGTGGTGAATAGCACTTTGATCCATTGTGTCTAACACGTTTCGGTATGTTGCACGGCTTTGACATAAACCAAGGGTATTTAGTCTCTCAAATGTCTACAGATGAAAAACAAAAGACTTGGTAACATTGTTAATTGAAACAATACTGCAGACTGCAGTTCCTTTAATTATGAAAATTGTTTAAAAAACAAAAAGAAGCAAGGAAGTAAAAACTGCTATAATTTGACAAATGTAAAAGTGAAGCCAAAGATTGAGGAAAACTGACTTATTATATGAATCATATATTTCCGCACAGGATACTGAAACAGATGTACTATAATTTCTTTAATTTCCACAAATTTTGGCTGCAATTGCAGCAGATTAATTATAACACCATTTATCTTTTGTACAATATGCTGTGACATGATATAGTCATGTATGTCAATACACATTACATTCAAAATACAAAAGGACAGTAACTCGGAATAACATTTTGTAGCTTTAATGAATCTCCATTAATTTTGACTAACGTGTAGTCATCATCAGGACAGTTAGTCTAAATTGCAGATTCAGTAAAGCTGCAAAATGTTATTCAGAGTTACTGTTCTTTTGTATTTTATCAAGATACTCAGTTGTTCCCGTAAACATAGTTCACATTACTTGCAAATGGAGAAATTCATGAACACATAGAAGTGTCATTTTCTGCTGGCTGAGGTATGAAAGAATCATAAAATGTTTTCTTATCACACAAGGCTGGGAGCTCGATTGTGAATCGCGTGTATTCAGCTAAAATGGCTGCAGCAGCTCCCAGCAGTGTGTGATATGTATGGTTTTACTCTACCTTGCTGGAGGAATGGCCAAAACCAATAATCATTGTTACAACTTTCTGAAGCAAACTAAGCTTCTGCCATCTTCCATTCATCATTATATATACCATATGCCATGCAGATATTTGGGCCACGGTCACAATTATCCTTGTTTGTTGGAGTGGTTATTGTTGTTAGAATATCAAGCAAAAATGGGATTTTTTCCTTCATTTCCTGTATGATGTTGTCCCAAGTAAAACTTTCAAGACATTCTTGTGTGTTGCTGCTGGGTACTAAAAGAACAGATGGTCCTATGCCACCAACACTCTTCTTTATCTTGCAAAGGTTTCTACATTGTTCATCAAGTTCTTTGAGTATGATATGCTGAATGCTTGCTTTAAGAAGAGGCATGGACATAACTTCTTTACCAATGTCTTCTGGGATTCCAAAATTAACAATTGTTACCAGCCTTGTCACTTTACTTCTATCAAGAAACCTGCATGGACTGTTCATGAACTAAAGTGTAAACACATAAATAAAAATAAATGTAAATCTATATGAATAAGAAATTAACATATTAATATTATTCTCACAAATCACAAATCACATATAACATATTAATTAGTATCTATCAGTGGAAAACTTGGATACTGAAAAGAATGTAAGCATGAAGATCAAACATGGAAGACAAGATACTGAATGGACTGCATTTTGTTTTGTAGGGGTGGTGGAGAGCTCCATGCCACTGCGAGAATGCGAGATACAAACTTCCAAGTCTGGGGTTGGCAAAGCTATAGCAAAAAATACCTTTGGATTTCTAAGGCCACTTTCTTTCAGAATCCCCTTCCCATCAACTACAGCATTTTGTTTTGTTGTTTCAGACTAAAAACAACAAATGACATTGTGTACATACCTTAACACAACTTAACAGTTAACACAGCTGTCCTCAAAAGTAAAAACGCGCATACGCAAACATTGATCACTGAGTAAAACATTACATAATACACTGTACATACTGCAGTATGCCAGTACGAGTATTTATATAATATTTGAAATTATATTACAAAATGTACAAGAATGAATTTTGACCTTGTATTTAACTACATTATATAACGATGACATATTACTCAAATTATATAATGTTTAGTTTGTCGAGATAAACATTGTTAGTAAACGCAATCGTACCTGATTAACTGTGTCCATTTGTATTGGCCTCAATGGCCTTGGCAAGATGTCGGAGGAAAGAATGGGCGGGAAAAGACAATGTCTTATGTCGGCAAATTGTTCTCGTTGACGTTTATGTAGAAGTGTTCCGCATGATGATGAAAGTGTCAATTGTGAAGGGCTTCGTTGGCAAACTGAACGTTTTCCTGCAACTGACGACTGAGAACAAATACCACGCAATTTTTTAATTCGTTCCACAATGGAATAAATGAGAATATAGCATTGTTGGCAGACGTATGATAGCACATCAATATTTACATCTTCCTTAACGCGAATACCACCATATGACTCCAAACCCTCTTTTATACCTTCCTTAAGAGATTTATCTCCAAAAAGGTTGACCGCATGTTTTATTTTAACAATATATTGACGGCAACAGCGCTAGCGACATTTAGACAAATTATTATGCCCAACTGTATCCGCCATATTGCGCATTTGAAGTAGCTTTTCAATATATGCCCAATATATCGTTGCTATAACGTAACAATATCGTTGCTCCTTCATAAAAGTTTTCTTTTAAACGTTTCCTTTGGCATCTGATATTGGTCGCGATATAGACAGTTCAAAATCACTTCTAACGGATAATACATTGACCTAAAATGAGCAATTGCTTTGAATTACAAAAGAACAAACTCATCTGGAATGGCGACTTAAGCGAATTAAAGTCCTACGTCGCAGAAAAGTTAAACATAAATGGTAAATGGAAATCACCGTCAGGTGGACGCTGGTTATTTACTAGCGATGCTTTGTCTATAACCTGGTATTGTAAAAGCAAAACTGTCTTATTTCAAGGTCCTCGTGGCAGCGAAGTGGCTGACTCTTTGAAGAAAAATATCGATGCATCGCGAATTGCAATAGTGAAAGATGCCGAGCTAATCATTGCTACCCCTGCTGTTTCCGAAAGACGGAATGAATCTATCGATAATCAGTGTAGTCTCAGTATTAACAATTCTAACTCGAACATGTTTGACAGATCTAGTAATACAACAACAACTATCAACCGAAGCGACTCGGATGCTAGCGAAGGAAAAGCAAATGAGAAAGAAATGTGTTCACACAAGCAGAACGAAGGCGATTATATAATGAATTGCAAAGACTGTAGTAAATTATCTGTAGAAGTAGCAGAAATTAAATTGGACTTGGCATTATTATTCCTAAAAGTTAATACTGCTGAAGCTCCCGCTACATGTGAATGCAATCGGCTACGAAACGAAAATCAGCTATTGAAACAAGAAATTAAATTACTCAAGGAAACACTGCACGGCATGGAATTGTCAAAATCGCCAATTAACATTGCTATCGATAATATGAATAATCAACCAACCATCACTGACAATGACTCTGTTATACTAATTGATATAGAAGAATCTGAAGTTAACGTAAACACTAATATGAATAATTTACCATCTGCGACATACAAAGAGAAACAATATAATACCCGAGGGCCAGTTGTTAATGACTCTCTTATGAAATATAGAAATCCCAATAAACCAGTCGTGCAAGACTCCCTGACCTCATTCGACCATCTCCTAAAAGAAAAGGCCGCCTTAAACGCCAACATGCATCGTCATAAGAGGAATCAAGTGCATAATTCTCCAACTAACAGAACGCATTTCTCGAAACCTAATTACCGGCGCAATCAGGCCGCCTTAAACGCCAACATGGATCGTCATAGGAGGAATCCAATGCATAATTCCTCAACTAACAGAACGCATTTCTCGAAACCTAATTACCGGCGCAATCAGTTTTCCGAGCCTAAACATCAATATCGTCAAGCAAATTTTCCCTCAAAGATTTTTCGAAGCGGTCGCTATCGGTGGATTCCGAAACCAAGAACAACAGCAGACTATACAGATACAAGAGCAAGTCAAATCAACCCGGCATACAAAGTGAATCCTTTCCAATCAAAGTCAGAGTTACAGCTTGGAGAAACGGAGTCCTGGGAAGCTTACCTACAGCTGGTCAACCGCACCTTGGACCAGTTTGGAACCCTCGTTTAGGCGCAATCCAACGGACAAGTGATAATTATACATCTCAGAGAAGTGTAAATTTTAATAATTTAATTAACATTAAGACTAATACAAACCCCACCATTGGAAAGTCCTCAGTCCCGTCCTTCCTCTTGTCAAATGTATGCCATATAACAAATAAGGTAGACGAATTAGCTGCTGTTGTATCGATCTATGACCCATCCGTGGTAATGATAACTGAATCTTGGCTAAGTGATGATATCGGTGATTCCTCGGTTAAGATCGGTAATAAATACAACATATTTCGTCGCGATAGAAAGTCTCCTGGCGGTGGAGTGATCGCCTACGTGAATAATTGTTTACCAGCAGAGCGTATGACTCACCTCGAAGAAGAAAACAAAGAAGTGATATGGTTGTTGTTAAAACCCCCAAGAACCCCTAGACCTTACAGTACAATCGTTGCTGCTGTTGTGTACTACCCTCCTGGTCAATCCGCCGAACAAGCAATCGATATGAATGAATACTTAACTACTTGTATAGATAGTCTCTTGCGCGAACGTCCTTCATCTGGAATTGTTATAGCTGGGGACTTCAATCAACTAAAATTAAGAGAACTATGTAACAGATTTAATTTAAAAAGATCCGTAACTAAACCGACTAGAGGACACAACATTCTTGATCAAATCCTTACAAATATGCTCCCTCTCTTTGACACTGTTAGCCATCTCCCCCCAATCGGACGCTCCGACCACCAATGTCTTCTAATCAAGCCCATTAAAAGACAGAAAACTCCGGTTACGTCAAAAAAAATTAGATTGATGAAACGAGCAAATTTAAATGACCTCTCCCTGAATATGGCTTCTGAAGATTGGACTACTGTATATTCAGCACTGGATGTGGATGAGAAAGTATCAGCTTATAACTCCATTATAATCAAGATGCTTGACGAGTTCTTACCTGAAAAAACCATCAGAGTACATCACTCTGATAAACCGTGGATCACCGGTAATATTAAAATGCAAATCAAAGCTCGTCAGAAGGCCTTTTCTCGTGGTGATCAGCCAAGATACAAACAACTATGCGAGAAAGTGGCAAATCTTATAGCTAAAGCTAAAGCCACCTACTATCGGTCCAAGGCCTCAGAATTTCGTACCTCGAATCAATCGAAGTGGTATAACTGTATCTACTCTTTAGTAAATGCCGAAAACACAACCCACACCCAATTTCCACACAGGCCCGAAAACCTAGACTTATCCGACTTGGCTGAAAAACTTCAGAAAGCCTTCACTAAACCATGGTCGGACCGTTACACGAATGTCGCCTTTGAAATACCTGAAGTGAACCACCCACATAAGAATAACAAACCACCCCTTCCTTCTATTGGCCAAGTTAAAGCGGTCTTAAAACATCTTAATCCAAGAAAAGCAACTGGCATCGATAAGGTTCCTGCATGGATGCTCAAACAATACCACGAAGACCTAGCTCCTGTGGTTTATGACATTGTGTGCTGTAGTATAAGTCAATGTTGTTATCCATCACTCTACAAACATGCCCTAATTTCCCCTGTTCCTAAAGTGCAACCGCCGAGAGACATTAACAATGATTTCCGCCAGATATCAGTCTTACCCCATCTTGCCAAGATCCTGGAAAAGATCCAGCTCCAGTTAAATATTGAAGATCTGAAAATTAAGAATAACCAGCACGCGTTTACTCAACATCGAAGCACAGTCTCTGCGTTAATATCAACTACCCAAACCTGATTTAATGCCACTGATTGTTCAAAAACAGGCAAAATGGGGGTTCATGCGGCCTTCATTGACTTTCGTAAGGCCTTCGACCTTGTGGATCACAATATTCTTTTGAACAAATTAGCAGCTATGAACATAAATAAACCCTTCTGGTTATGGATTAAAAGTTTCCTTTCCGGAAGAGTTCAACAAGTAAATCTCAATGGTACCTTATCATCCATTGCAACATGCCCGGCCGGAGTCCCGCAAGGCTCTGTAATATCTCCCATTCTTTTTAATACCTACATTGATGATTTGGAGGACGCCTTACCAGAACAACTAAAAGTCAGTACGAATAAGTATGCAGATGACTGCACACAACACCAAATAGTGAGCGTAGATTCTAATAGTAATTTACAACAATCTATCAATGAAGTAAATAACTGGGCGGTGTTAAATAAAATGGCAATTAATGCTAAAAAAAACTAAGGACATGTGGATCTCTTTCACGGACGCTATACATGAACCACCACGTCTTCGTATTGGAAATGAGTTAATAGAAAGGGTCAACGCTTTTAAATTACTTGGCGTGTCGTTCCAAAATAATCTAAAATAGAACGCACATGTTGAAGAGATTACACGTAAAGCAAATAAACGCCTTTACCATCTTAGAGAATGCAGGAAATCGCAGTTACCAGCTGAAGTCGGTATTATTACCTATCAATCCAAAATAAGACCAATTCTCGAGTATGCATCACCTGTCTGGGCGGGACTCCCTAATTACCTGCGAGATGAAATAGAGCGGGTCCAATCCAGGAGCTTAAGAATCCTTGGCCTGGAAAAAGATTACCTACCACCGTCGAACGAAAGAAGGGAAGAGGCAACTAGTCGAGAAGTTGATAGGTTTATGAACGATCCACACCATCCCTGTCGCAGTGTTTTGCCAAAATTAATTAACAATCAGTACAATTTAAGGAACATTGACCGGAATCGCAATATATCATTCTTCTCAGGAACTGAAAGGCATAAACATTCATTTTCAGGTAGAGCTTGTAAATATGTATAAATAGTTTTAACTTATTAGAAGAACTTATTAGATTAAAGAATTTATTAGTTTTAACTTCTTAGTTAGTTTTCTAAATTATCTTACAACAATTTGTAATATAAAGACATATCCGCAGCATATACACTTTCTCAAGTCCATTGTACTTTTTTATCTTAAGATGGATGAATAAAGCTATTATTATTATTATTATTATAAGCGTTCACTTTCATGAGCGTTCTTTATCATAAGCGTTCACTTTCATGAGCGTTCTTTATCATAAGCGTTCACTTTCATGAGCGTTCCTTTTCATAAGCGTTCACTTTCATGAGCGTTCCTTTTCATAAGCGTTCACTTTCATGAGCGTTCTTTATCATAAGCTTTCGCTTTCATAAGCGTTCGTTTTCATAAGCGTTCGTTTTCATAAGCGTTCACTTTCATGAGCGTTCTTTATCATAAGCGTTCACTTTCATGAGCGTTCTTTATCATAAGCGTTCACTTTCATGAGCGTTCTTTATCATAAGCGTTCACTTTCATGAGCGTTCCTTTTCATAAGCGTTCACTTTCATGAGCGTTCCTTTTCATAAGCGTTCACTTTCATGAGCGTTCTTTATCATAAGCTTTCGCTTTCATAAGCGTTCGTTTTCATAAGCGTTCGTTTTCATAAGCGTTCACTTTCATGAGCGTTCTTTATCATAAGCGTTCACTTTCATGAGCGTTCTTTATCATAAGCGTTCACTTTCATGAGCGTTCTTTATCATAAGCGTTCACTTTCATGAGCGTTCCTTTTCATAAGCGTTCACTTTCATGAGCGTTCCTTTTCATAAGCGTTCACTTTCATGAGCGTTCTTTATCATAAGCTTTCGCTTTCATAAGCGTTCGTTTTCATAAGCGTTCACTTTCATGAGCGTTCTTTATCATAAGCGTTCTCTTTCATTAGCGCTCGCTTTCATAAGCGTTCACGTTCACTTGGTCAATACTATTGTATATCCACTCATTCATAATCATGCATGCAAATTAAATGCCATATGGCCAGCTGATATTTTGAAAAAGCAAATACATTGAACTGCATCTTGAACTGAAGATATACAGTACGAGTAAAAACAAGCGGGAATTTTTAACCAAATATTCTCTCATATTTCTATATTCTCTGTCCACTTACATAAGTGGCTCAGTAATCTCTCCCAGATGGCAGGTCTACTGTATATGGCTCAGCTGTATTTACAATTAGCTGTTGTTTTGATTCCTGTTGTTTTATGTGAATTAAATGCAGTTTTGAATACATCAAGCTGACAAGCACTTCATTTATTAAATACAGAAATGTTGAATGAATACTGCCTTTAAATGTTTTTTTCACATTTTAACAATTTTATTGAGAATTCTACAAATTTTTAAAACAGCAGTTCTCTATAGAAATAAGTAGAATACCCAAATGGACAATATCAAGCACAAACGAGACATAAAGTCCCATGCAAGGTGCTTACCATTCTAAAACTATACAAAACAAAATATAACATATAATGCAATACAAAACAGCACAAAAAAAATGCTCAAAATAAAAAAATAAAAACAAAATAAAAAAAAAAACATCCAACACAATTATTTACTAAGTTCTATGACATGAACAGTCACACACTAATGACCATGTACATGGTATTTCTATGTCGAACATTGTCCCAAGCAAGTGTTATACATGCTTCTAATGTTTCTTTTAAATGACGAGATAGTGGTTCTTAATTATCTAGTACTAACTGATTAATTTCCTGACAAAGTGTTTTTGCTCAAAACATCAAAGTTCTGCTTGAATGTTTCAGGTCCCTATCAATCCAAAGCTTTCTTATTATTGGCATGTACTACCCAGTGGCATGCTGGGTACCATTTTTCTGGGGGGGGCAGTCGGCTATCTACCAATATGTGCCCCTATGTTACACTTGATAAACGAGGGCCAAAGGCACAAGCCGAGTGCCGCAGGTGCGAGGTTTGTCTAATTTTGAATTTAGAGTCTCTGAAATGCCATTTCCTGGACTCTGATGGTCAGGAAACGGCATTATAACATGTCGAAATTTGCAATTTGGTTAGAATTTAGTAGTACCCAAATTGGGCAATGCTAATTACTTCCAGCGATTAATCTAATCTCAATTCTATTCTCTACTCAGATGTAGTGATCTGAATACATTTACAACTTACGGCTCTTTTATACAATAATATAAGGACCCCACGCATATGCATTTTAAGTTTTCCTTGCCTGGCTGCCAAAAGGGCGTGTTTCAGCATTATTTCATTACTTACATTACTCATGATGTTTCTTGCGCAAACAACTCATTTGCGTACACAACTTTACATTATCATAACTTCAACTATCTAATTTGCGCCGCTCTCGTGATTCGTGAAGCAATATAATAAAGGGCATAATATAAGGGCATAATACCAGCAAAAAAGGGCATGATTCCCGTGATCGCTTCCAAACCTCACCAATATTTCGGTAATGCGGCATTGCGTGTGATCAATGATCGTGTTCCTATATAAACGATTTTGTGTGAGCTGTGAAGTAGCAAATTAGCAAATACGGTTAGACAAAATAGTCTGTAATTTAATATATCACTTTGTCGCCCATGCGCTTAGTTTGTTTATAAGCCAATAAACACATCTTTTCTTGGCGGAAGTAACTATTTTTTTCGAATGCGTTTTTTCCCACCCACTTTCAAAATTTGGTGCGGGATCGGCGCCCCCTTTTCATTTTTGCCAGCACACCACTGGTACTACCTACACTGCCACAGCTAGACTGTTCAACATTATATATCCACCACTAACTGGGTAAAATTTTTCTTTACTTTGTAAACCGCACAGCCCTTTGAAATTCAGGCAACTGAAAGGCTACCGCACATCTAAATAAGTTGAAATAATAACAATAACTACTATAACTTCTCGACAAAAAAGGGCCTGCCTTCCTTCAAAACGTCAAAGTTCTCCTTGTATATTTCAGGTAGTTGTATCCCTAATCAATCCCAAGCTTTCTTATTCTTGGCCTACACTGGCACAGACCAGTCAAGATCCTATTTAAATGATAAATGTACTCAAATTACAAATTTACAAAGCGATTCAGAAACAAGTAGCCGGTTGTTCTAAGAAATCTGTAATCAAACTCATGCTGACATTCTAGAAATTCATTAACACTTTAAGATTAATATTGACAGGAAGTACTTGACAATATGTTGAAACCGCGACTCTTTGTTCATGTGCGATCCAAATGCGGCATGCTAGCTTTGCTGCAATAATTTAACCAAAACTTGATATATATGAATCTTGCTGCCTCTATCTAATGTAAGAACCTAAAGTGTATAAGATACGGCTTTCATAAAAATATAGATTATCAAACAGACATAAAATATGTTACATGGGTTGAGAGGTTTTTGACTTTATATTGAACTTGGCATTCGCAAACCTAGGAGGGCCCAATGTGAAACCCATAAACGGTAAGCATAAGCCTGATATGTCAAGAACATTTCCTAAATATTACCACTATATATATGAGTGGAAATAAGCTCCAGCACTGCAGTCTAAATACACTACAGCTTACAAGCCGTCGTGAACAAGAGCATTTTTCCATATTTTTCAAAAAAAAAAATAAATGACTTGATCGAAAGTCAACAAAACAAACCATTGTGTCACAAGCCGCTGGTTAATTAAGATGAGCCCCAAAGCCGGCTTTGACAGCCGCAGCTTGTTTTAGATGCAAACAAATATTGTACTTTTATACGATTGTTCGTGGTTTATTTAAGCTGTGGCTTATTTAGGCTGTATCTTATTTTGGCTCATATGAATGGCCCTATTAACACCTAGAGGCAATGGTTTCTAGTTCTTTGAAAAAGTACCAGTTTATTTCATTCCAATTTCCAAGTGACAACATTTCTCACAATGACACATACCGATATCCCGCAGAAAAACACTTAATCCGAACAATGAATACACTATCTAATGAGTATTGTGTTCACCTCTAATGAGTGAATCACAATATCTCATGTGAATTACAGTAAGCTGTAATTCATGGAACAAGAATACTGGTAAACAGAGGGCTTAGTAAACTGAAAAATTTCTAGAAATTCTATTTCAGGAATTTGATATTCAATTTGTTAGTTGAGCCAAAACAAATTGTAATTCCAGATTTCCCCAGAAAATGGTTGGCTTTCAAAATTTGCAAGTTCTCTCCTCAAATTGACAGAAAACATCCAATTTCTAGTTTTCAAAAGCTACGGGTTTTATATCCGCACAAGGAAGACATTAAATATTTATAACCTCGTTTAAAAGACTTTAAAATGCTTTCAAATTTCTCATACGCGAAGCACAGTTGCAGATAACAAGAATTTTTAACTCTTCTAATGGCTGCCAAAAAGACAACACGAGACAACCCGATAATTAAACTTTAAATATAGACAAATTACATCTTTGCAAAACCACTATAGCATCTAGTAAAAGGCTACATAAATTGCTTCAAGAATTAGATACACTCTATTGCTATATATGTATATATACAAGAGTATCAATACGGTTAAAACTGCAGGAAAAAAATGATGAGAAAAGAAGTTGAACTTGGGCGTCTCCAGACACAACAAAGATGTGTATAAATTCTGAGACATGAATTATAAATAAGTCAAATTTAAAACTTACATTATTTCTTTACAGAAAGGCGGTTGCTTTCCAAAATAGTTGTAATGCGTTATGAACTCACAATTCTTGCATTGAAAGGCGGTAGACGAAGCTTCAGTGTCCATTCTATTGTTCAAAACGAAACAAAATCACACGCAGTCGGTCCTCCAAAGCAAACTCGTAGAATTTTGTTTAAAATTCCAGGTAAAAGCAAAACAGGAAATGGCGCCACCACCGGAAGTAAGGAATATTAATTTTTAATATTCGAGAAAAGGCCAGTCATTTTATTGATTAAAGCACATATACAAACCACAGTCCAGACCAAAACTAGCTTAGACCAAAGGTTCAAAACGCGGCACAGTGATGAAACAAATTTTGGCTCGGGGGAATTTTAAAGCACATTTTTACATATAAACTTTCATAGTATACGTATGCAAATGATCCTTGATTTTATTATAGATTCTGCTACCCTTACCCGTTAGGCCACATAAAAAAATAGTTGGTTAGCGTCCTCGTCCGCCCACAAAAAAGGCGCCGCTCAGGATTTTTTTAAAAAAATTTTAATTTAAAATAACCCCAACTTTTATTGATCAACGGCCCTCTAATATATGTAGTATTTCTGTTGACTGTAGTCAATTGTATTAATTAAGTTGCGAAATTGCGTGCGAAAATGACGGTATGGATCATATTTTGAAATATATAAAAAATATCTGTACTGCGCAAGAAAATCCAGTTTCAGACCTAAAACCAAGGCGTTAAAAATTAGCGGTAGAAATTAAAAAAAGTGCCCGCCCATCCACTTTTTGGCAAAAGCTACGGACGCTAACCAACTATTTTTTTTATGTGACCTTAAGGCTAATTTCCTATCCGTGGATTGAAATCATTAGTTTCAACCCAGAGCTCACAAGACAAACAAAAATTTTCTTGTCCGTTCCAACCAACGGATAATTTTCCTGAGTGGAAATTAGCCTTTACCCAGACTTCTGAGTCAAATAAATCTAAGCTTGTCTCAGAAAACTTCGAACAAATTTTGACTTTTATTATCTTTACAGATTCTACATTATTAGTATTACGCTTGCCCGTTCCCCGGATTCTTGAGTCAACTAAACTCTAAAGGCCTGATTCCACGAGGCGGAATTTTTCGACCGAAACGAAATTTCTCTTTGTCTTTTTACAATTAGTTCCGCTTGAGAGCTCATGAAACAAAGAGAAATTTCGATTCGGTCGAAAAATTTCGCCTAGTGGAAAACCGCCTTAAAGGTAGCCTGCATGACTCAGGAAAATTATCCGTGCATTCGACCGAACAACAAAACTTTTCTTTGTCTTGTGAGCTTTGGGTTGGAACTGATGACTTAATAACACAAACAGAAATTTTCTTGTCCGTTCCAATCCACGGATAATTTTCTTGAGTGGAAACTTCAGGCGGTTTTCCACTAGTCTAGGCGAAATTTTTCAATCCAACAGAAATTTCTATTGTTCAATTAAATTCAGACCGTTCAAATTCAAAAGATTTCTGTTTAGTTCCATCTGAGTGCTTGTAAGACAAAAGAAACTTTTGATTCGGTCGAAAAATTTTGCTTAGTGGAAAACCCCCTTTAAACCTGAGCTTGTCTTAGAGAATTTCGACCAAAATTTGACTGATCGAAAAAAATTTTTCGTCACAGACCAACTTAGAAATGCCCAAAACGCATAATGATACAGAAAGTTTTGGCTCAGGAGATTTTTAAAGCACATTTTGACATAACTTTCTGAGTACGAGCCGTATGCAAATTATAATTATAGATTCCACAACGCTTGCCCGTTGCCCGTATTCTTGAGTCAACTAAACTTCGGGCTGATCGAAAAAAAATTTATGTCGTAGACCAACTCAGAAATGTTCAAAACGCATAATGATGCGGAAAGTTTTGTCCAAGGACAAATTTAAAGCGCATATTTTGACTTTTGAGATGATTTTCTGAGTATTAACCAGTTGCCCGTCCTTTAATATAGATTCCACTACACTTGCCCGTTGCCAGTATTCTTGAGTCGACTAAAGCTGAGCTTGCATGCCTTAGAAAATATCGACCAAAGTTGGACTTAGAAAATTTCGGCTCGCTGGAAAAAAATTTTTCGTCATAGACCGACTTAGAAAGGTTCAAAACATATATTCATGCAGAAAGTTTTAGCTCAGGGCAATTTTAAAGCACATTTTGACATAACTTTCTGAGTAGGAGCCGTATGCAAATTAATCCTTGCCCGTCCTTTAATATAGATTCCACTACGCTTGCCCGTTGCCTGTATTCTTGAGTCAACTAAATCTGAGCTTGCCTTAGAAAATTTCGACCAAAGTTGGACTTAGAAAATTTCGGCCTGATCGAAAAAAATTTTTCGTCATAGACCTACTTAGAAAGGTTCAAAACGTATAGTGATGCAGAAAGTTTTGGCTCAGGGGAATTTTAAAGCACATTTTGACATAACTTTCTGAGTAGGAGCCGTATGCAAATTAATCCTTGCCCGTCCTTTAATGTAGATTCCACTACGCTTGCCCGTTGCCCGTATTCTTGAGTCAACTAAATCTGAGCTTGCCTTAGAAAATTTCGACCAAAGTTGGACTTAGAAAATTTCGGCCTCATCGAAAAAAATTTTTCGTCATAGACCTACTTAGAAAGGTTCAAAACGTATAGTGATGCAGAAAGTTTTGGCTCAGGGGAATTTTAAAGCACATTTTGACATAACTTTCTGAGTAGGAGCCGTATGCAAATTAATCCTTGCCCGTCCTTTAATATACATTCCACTACGCTTGCCCGTTGCCCGTATTCTTGAGTCAACTAAATCTGAGCTTGCCTTAGAAAATTTCGCCCAAAGTTGGACTTAGAAAATTTCGGCCTGATCGAAAAAAATTTTTCGTCATAGACCTACTTAGAAAGGTTCAAAACGTATAGTGATGCAGAAAGTTTTGGCTCAGGGCAATTTTAAAGCACATTTTGACATAACTTTCTGAGTAGGAGCCGTATGCAAATTAATCCTTGCCCGTCCTTTAATATAGATTCCACTACGCTTGCCCGTTGCCCGTATTCTTGAGTCAACTAAATCTGAGCTTGCCTTAGAAAATTTCGACCAAAGTTGGACTTAGAAAATTTCGGCCTGATCGAAAAAAAATTTTCGTCATAGACCTACTTAGAAAGGTTCAAAACGTATAGTGATGCAGAAAGTTTTGGCTCAGGGGAATTTTAAAGCACATTTTGACATAACTTTCTGAGTAGAAGCCGTATGCAAATTAATCCTTGCCCGTCCTTTAATATAGATTCCACTACGCTTGCCCGTTGCCCGTATTCTTGAGTCAACTAAATCTGAGCTTGCCTTAGAAAATTTCGCCCAAAGTTGGACTTAGAAAATTTCCCCCTCATCGAAAAAAATTTTTCGTCATAGACCTACTTAGAAAGGTTCAAAACGTATAGTGATGCAGAAAGTTTTGGCTCAGGGGAATTTTAAAGCACATTTTGACATAACTTTCTGAGTAGGAGCCGTATGCAAATTAATCCTTGCCCGTCCTTTAATATAGATTCCACTACGCTTGCCCGTTGCCCGTATTCTTGAGTCAACTAAATCTGAGCTTGCCTTAGAAAATTTCGCCCAAAGTTGGACTTAGAAAATTTCGCCCTCATCGAAAAAAATTTTTCGTCATAGACCTACTTAGAAAGGTTCAAAACGTATAGTGATGCAGAAAGTTTTGGCTCAGGGGAATTTTAAAGCACATTTTGACATAACTTTCTGAGTAGGAGCCGTATGCAAATTAATCCTTGCCCGTCCTTTAATATAGATTCCACTACGCTTGCCCGTTGCCCGTATTCTTGAGTCAACTAAATCTGAGCTTGCCTTAGAAAATTTCGACCAAAGTTGGACTTAGAAAATTTCGCCCTCATCGAAAAAAATTTTTCGTCATAGACCTACTTAGAAAGGTTCAAAACGTATAGTGATGCAGAAAGTTTTGGCTCAGGGGAATTTTAAAGCACATTTTGACATAACTTTCTGAGTAGGAGCCGTATGCAAATTAATCCTTGCCCGTCCTTTAATATAGATTCCACTACGCTTGCCCGTTGCCCGTATTCTTGAGTCAACTAAATCTGAGCTTGCCTTAGAAAATTTCGACCAAAGTTGGACTTAGAAAATTTCGCCCTCATCGAAAAAAATTTTTCGTCATAGACCTACTTAGAAAGGTTCAAAACGTATAGTGATGCAGAAAGTTTTGGCTCAGGGCAATTTTAAAGCACATTTTGACATAACTTTCTGAGTAGGAGCCGTATGCAAATTAATCCTTGCCCGTCCTTTAATATAGATTCCACTACGCTTGCCCGTTGCCCGTATTCTTGAGTCAACTAAATCTGAGCTTGCCTTAGAAAATTTCGACCAAAGTTGGACTTAGAAAATTTCGCCCTCATCGAAAAAAATTTTTCGTCATAGACCTACTTAGAAAGGTTCAAAACGTATAGTGATGCAGAAAGTTTTGGCTCAGGGCAATTTTAAAGCACATTTTGACATAACTTTCTGAGTAGGAGCCGTATGCAAATTAATCCTTGCCCGTCCTTTAATGTAGATTCCACTACGCTTGCCCGTTGCCCGTATTCTTGAGTCAACTAAATCTGAGCTTGCCTTAGAAAATTTCGACCAAAGTTGGACTTAGAAAATTTCGGCCTCATCGAAAAAAATTTTTCGTCATAGACCTACTTAGAAAGGTTCAAAACGTATAGTGATGCAGAAAGTTTTGGCTCAGGGGAATTTTAAAGCACATTTTGACATAACTTTCTGAGTAGGAGCCGTATGCAAATTAATCCTTGCCCGTCCTTTAATATAGATTCCACTACGCTTGCCCGTTGCCCGTATTCTTGAGTCAACTAAATCTGAGCTTGCCTTAGAAAATTTCGCCCAAAGTTGGACTTAGAAAATTTCGCCCTCATCGAAAAAAATTTTTCGTCATAGACCTACTTAGAAAGGTTCAAAACGTATAGTGATGCAGAAAGTTTTGGCTCAGGGCAATTTTAAAGCACATTTTGACATAACTTTCTGAGTAGGAGCCGTATGCAAATTAATCCTTGCCCGTCCTTTAATATAGATTCCACTACGCTTGCCCGTTGCCCGTATTCTTGAGTCAACTAAATCTGAGCTTGCCTTAGAAAATTTCGACCAAAGTTGGACTTAGAAAATTTCGGCCTGATCGAAAAAAATTTTTCGTCATAGACCTACTTAGAAAGGTTCAAAACGTATAGTGATGCAGAAAGTTTTGGCTCAGGGGAATTTTAAAGCACATTTTGACATAACTTTCTGAGTACGAGCCGTATGCAAATTAATCCTTGCCCGTCCTTTAATATAAATTCCACTACGTTTGCCCGTTGCCCGTATCTTGAGTCAACTAAAGCTGAGCTTGCCTTAGAAAATTTCGGCCAAAGTTGGACTTAGAAAATTTCGGCCTGATCGAAAAAAATTTTTCGTCATAGACCTACTTAGAAAGGTTCAAAACGTATAGTGATGCAGAAAGTTTTGGCTCAGGGGAATTTTAAAGCACATTTTGACATAACTTTCTGAGTACGAGCCGTATGCAAATTAATCCTTGCCCGTCCTTTAATATAAATTCCACTACGCTTGCCCGTTGCCCGTATTCTTGAGTCAACTAAATCTGACTTGCCTTAAAGAATTTCGACCAAAGTTGGACTTAGAAAATTTCGGTCTAATCGAAAAAAATTTTTCGTCATAGACCGACTTAGAAAGGTTCAAAACACATATTCATGCAGAAAGTTTTAGCTCAGGGCAATGACATAACTTTCTGAGCACGAGCCGTATGCAAATGAATCTTTGCCGGGATTTCATTATACATGTAGATACTGCGCTTGCCCGCTGCCCGGATTCCAACCCAGTGAACTATATACATTACATTATATGCATTGTATATACACTATATACATTATATATTGTTATATAGTTCAGTGTTCCAATCTCGTTCCCAGGGTCTCTCCTTCTGTCATCAAAGAAAGATCCTGGGTACGAGGTTGCCAGGATCCTTGACTCCTTGAGTCAACTAAAGCTAAGCTTGTCTTAGAAAATTTCGACCAAAGTTTGACTTAGAAAATTTCGGGCTGATCGAAAAAACATTTTCGTCTTAGACCGACTTGGAAAGGTTCAAAACGCATATTGATGCAGAAAGTTTTGGCTAAGGAGAATTTTAAAGCACATTTCACATATAATCTTACCCCCCCCCCTGATTTTGTTATAGATTCTACTACGCTTTACCGTTACCCGAATTTTTGACTACTTTTTAAATGCTGTACAACAAGCAGTTTCTCAGCAAAAGTTCAGCGGAGCAGTTATGCCACCAGTATAAAAAAAGTTATTGATGAGAAACCAACACGACAGATTTAAACTAACAAACGGAAGTGGCACCTTGATACTACGTGAAACTATATCTGAAGTAGTTTACTATTTTGAACAAAAAGTTAAAAAGAGCGTCAAAATATTTACGATGTTGCCAAGAGAACGTTCATGCCTGATTGATCACATCTAAACAACCTGCTACAATTATAGGTCACCTGACTAACATAAAAGGCAATATTGCAACCTTGACACTAAAATATATTAGGTTATTAAAATTATAAGACATGGCAAAAGTTGTTCCATTGATAACTATTTTAATAGGTAGTTTTATACTTATAGTTAGTAACGTAAAATGTTACTCAAATTTAGAATTATTGGAAAAACAGAAGCCAGGGAAAAAACTTTATGAAGGGTAAGATATTGCCATATCATTGAAATCATTTTATAATATAACAAATAAATATATCATATATATATGTATGTCATGTTAATATATCACGTATATTCAATAATCATTAAGACGTGATAGAAGGCTATATACCAAGCTGTCGATTATTGTTATGTATTATTTTTCCTAATCCGATTGTTTATTTTTTGTATATTTACAAGTTTCATTTTCGCATTAACTTTGTCAAACAAAAACAGAAACAATTTTTTTTCATAATCTAAGGATGAAATCGGCTGTACTGCAGTTTTTAAGTCCCTATATTATTTTAATCACGTGTTGATTGGTTAAATTATTGCTCTTTATTGCTCTGATTGATGGTAGCAATTAAGTATTATCGATTAATTTGATCTCTTGTTTGTTTAGACATAAAGTTATTCGAGCATTTCCAAAGACCAAAGCTGACATTGATTTTCTAAATTCACTGGAAGAAAATCCAGACATCGAGGTACGATCTGAAAATCTTCGTTCTTCTTTCCTTTAATTCCTTCCTTCCTTCCTCCCTTGTATCATCTCCTTCCTTTTCTCCCTCACTGATTGTCTTCTCTCCTTCCTTCCTCCTCCCTGTCTTTGTCCTCCCCCCCCCAGCTTTCTCCCTCCTTCCTGCCTCCCCATCTTCCTTCCTTTATTCCCCCAGAAATCACTGACTCCAATAACAAATTTCTCCAGGTGGATTTCTGGGCGAGAAGTAGAGACATCGACATTCATGTCGGACCAGAGGATTACCAGAAACTGGACTCATACTTGCGACGATGGAATATCAATTATAATATAATGAATAATAATCTGCAGAAAAGTTTTGAAGAGGAGGAAAAGGGACATTATCGACACAGTCATGGATGGCACGGTACTTATCGTAATTATGACGAGGTCAGTTTAAATTCTGTGTAAACAAGGTATAAACAAGCTTTCTCCTTCATGGGCAGCATTACCGAACAGCGAATGATATCAACTTCAAAACAGTGTTCAGACTTACAGGAATAAGAAAATTAACTATGTCGTTCTCTTTTATTTGGTGGCTACAAAATTCAAAACAACTATATGTATTGAAAAGGATTAACATTATTTGCGATAACCGACGATCTGCTGCACGATAATCTTGCGTTGTATTTGTCAGTAACAATTATTTGTCACGTACATTTTCATGGTATGCATGTGTTGTTAATTTAATTTCAGATTATGCAAAAATTAAACAACTTTAATAACAGTTTAAATACTGGTCGGACAAAAGTAGTGAATATTGGAAATTCGTATGAGAAGAGGAATATCTTGGGTCTGGAGGTAAGGAAAACTAGCTTTCATCAACATTTATTGATAATAAAGAGGTATAACAACATTTATTCAAGGCTACATCATCACCATAATATAACTTATCACACGTGCCAGTATTTCAAAATAACTTAACGAGAAAGTTCGACGAAATTATTGAGTTGGAGAAATATTTATGTTGACTGATTTACTAATGATTTGTTTATTGGCTGATTTAAAGCTTGAGGATTTTGTTTTAGATATCAGACGGCAAAGGACAGGCGGGCAAACAGAAGATAGTTGTCATTTGTGGACAACATGCAAGAGAATGGGTATCACCTGCCACTTGCATGTACATCATGGACAATGTAAGTGATTTTATTTTTTTTTTTAGTCTCGAACGTTAAGTTTCTCTTGCCTCAAAAAAGTTTACTTTTGCTTTCTAGATGATCAGTAAATATGGCAAAGATCATAATATAACAGGAATGTTAGACAGATTCAACTGGGTTTTCTTTCCTACCGTGAATCCTGATGGTTATGTCTACACTTGGGAGAAGGTATGACCACCTATCTGTCATCACCATACGTTCCAATACTACCATTAACCATTAGATCAAACCTACCATTACTAACACACTTTTGAACTAAGTCATACCATTAACATCATCAGCATTACCATGCATACTGTCATTACTAGTAACCACAATTATCACCAACATAATCATTACCATAATCATTATACCATAATACCATTAACACCCATCATCACCACTAATACTGTTAATACCATCACTACAAATGACCATGATCACTATTACCACCACCATAACGACCACAAAATGTCGTAATTATTGGACCACGTGATAATTTCTTCAAGGATCGTATGTGGAGGAAAAATCGTCAACCAAATAAAAAATTATCATGCCACGGAACAGACCTGAACAGGAACTGGGACTACCATTTTGCAGGTTTGAATTTTTAAATCATTTGCCTATATCCGACAATGTGATGGTGATAGATGATGATAATGATGATTATTGACGCTGATGAAGATTTTGATAGTGGTGATACCGGTGGTGATGATGGGTAATGTGGTGATTATGATGATTGTTGTTATGATAGTGGTGAAGCCAGTGATGATTACTGACGCTGATTTTGATAGTGGTGATACCGGTGGTGATGATGGGCAATGTGGTGATTGTTGTTATGATAGTGCGGTAATGATCATGATGGAGATGATAATGGTTATGATGGAGATGATAATGGTTATGATGGAGATGATAATAGTTATGATGGAGATGATAATGGTTATGATGGAGATGATAATGATTACGATGGAGATGATAATGGTTATGATGGAGATGATAATAGTTATGATGGAGATGATAATGGTTATGATGGAGATGATAATAATTATGATGGAGATGATAATGGTTATGATGGAGATGATAATAATTATGATGGAGATGATAATGATTATGATGGAGATGATAATAGTTATGATGGAGATGATAATGGTTATGATGGAGATGATAATGGTTATGATGGAGATGATAATAATTATGATGGAGATGATAATGATTATGATGGAGATGATAATGGTTATGATGGAGATGATAATAATTATGATGGAGATGATAATGGTTATGATGGAGATGATAATGGTTATGATGGAGATGATAATAGTTATGATGGAGATGATAATAGTTATGATGGAGATGATAATGGTTATGATGGAGATGATAATAATTATGATGGAGATGATAATGGTTATGATGGAGATGATAATAATTATGATGGAGATGATAATGGTTATGATGGAGATGATAATGGTTATGATGGAGATGATAATGGTTATGATGGAGATGATAATGATTATGATGGAGATGATAATGGTTATGATGGAGATGATAATGATTATGATGGAGATGATAATGGTTATGATGGAGATGATAATGATCATGATGGAGATGATAATGGTTATGATGGAGATGATAATGGTTATGATGGAGATGATAATGATTATGATGGAGATGATAATGATTATGATGGAGATGATAATGGTTATGATGGAGATGATAATGGTTATGATGGAGATGATAATGGTCATGATGGAGATGATAATGGTTATGATGGAGATGATAATGATTATGATGGAGATGATAATGGTTATGATGGAGATGATAATGATCATGATGGAGATGATAATGGTTATGATGGAGATGATAATGGTTATGATGGAGATGATAATGATTATGATGGAGATGATAATGATTATGATGGAGATGATAATGGTTATGATGGAGATGATAATGGTTATGATGGAGATGATAATGGTCATGATGGAGATGATAATGGTTATGATGGAGATGATAATGATTATGATGGAGATGATAATGGTTATGATGGAGATGATAATGATCATGATGGAGATGATAATGGTTATGATGGAGATGATAATGGTTATGATGGAGATGATAATGATTATGATGGAGATGATAATGATTATGATGGAGATGATAATGGTTATGATGGAGATGATAATGGTTATGATGGAGATGATAATGATCATGATGGAGATGATAATGGTTATGATGGAGATGATAATGATTATGATGGAGATGATAATGGTTATGATGGAGATGATAATGATCATGATGGAGATGATAATGGTTATGATGGAGGTGATAATAGTGGTGCATGGTGATGATGGTGGTGTAAAAATGGCACATGTGATAATGATGTTCATGACATTTCTTCTTCACTCCAGGCGCAGGATCAAGCAACAATCCATGCAATGATATCTATCACGGTGAAAGGGCCTTCTCTGCACCTGAAGTTTTGGCTTTAGCGAACTACATCAAATCACTTCGCGGCGAAATCTATTCCTTCATCGATCTTCATTCATACAGTCAGTTACTGATGTTTCCTTGGAGTTATAGTAAGAAAGCGGAAGCCAAAGATAAGGCTGAATTGGTTAGTAATAACTTCAGTGATATTTATTTAATGCTGATTACACAAGATGTGGTGGCCACATTCACCCAAAGAGGCTTGTGATACTTAGGGTTAGTTTTAGTGAGACAAGAAACCCGGGGTAAAAACCCCTCGAAGCGTGACAGAGAATCGATCAAAATCTACTTACACGTCACTACCCTCCATTCACTGATTGCAGATACTCTATTACAGATCCGGGATCTGTATATGTAGTTGCATTTTTCACAACTGCCTCTGGTTAGGTCTAAAAAATGTACAGAACTCACTCTCGAAATTTCCATCTACAAAACTCTTCAACAAGTAGTTCTATCAAGTGAGACGCCCAAAAGCCAGATAATAACTCTATTACATCGTCTACCCTGACATGATCACGACCAAATGGAAACATAACCTGAGTAATTTTCTCCTGTTGCAGTATGAAATATCTGTGAAAGCCGTGGATGCATTACGCAGCGTACATGGGACTGTTTTTAAAACTGGACCAGCAGCTGTGGTTATTTGTAAGTGATCTAATAGCCTTACATACGAAATATGCACAACATACGAGGCCGTGTTCTACAAGTAAAGCAAACACGACGCTTCAATAAGTGTCACATGAATAATATGTACTTAAATGTTATGCAAATCAGCAGGATTTTGTATTAGATATACAAGCTCCTTTAACATGAAAGTTGACATTCTCTAAGGCTTTTGTTGTTCAATTTTCAGACGAAGCATCTGGCAGCGCTAAGGACTGGGTGTATGGATCAATGGGAGTGAAATATGCTTTCGTATTTGAACTGCGAGACAGGGGAAAGCACGGCTTTGTACTTCCAAAGGAACAAATCATTCCAACAGCGGACGAAACATTCGCGGCACTGCATAGTCTTTCAATCAATATGAAGGATTACGGCAACAAGAAAACCAGTTATTAAACAACTCCATAACTCCGTGTATAGGACGAGAACCAATTATTAACCAATTCTTATTATATAACTTGCCTCTAGATATTCCATACTTAGGTTTATTCTTACATTAAATATCGTTACTATAGTGTTAAAGGTTTGACCAGCTGGATTCTTGAAATATATATTAGATTAACAGCTCCGAGTTTCAGTGCATTATAGAAACTGGCCATATTTCAAAGCTTGTTGCGTAGTACGTACTGTTTACTTACCAAACTCTCTCAATCATCTAAGTTTCGGACCAATTCTATCATTCCATTCAATATTTCACTTCCTGAATCCACAATTTGTTCTGGAGGGACAATAAATCCTCTTTCATCTTGAAATACCGTTGGTCGCAGTTCAATGCTGTATGAATGAACGACTCCCAGATTGGCGTATGTCCAGTCAGTAGCATCGCCTGTGGTAGGGTCTAGGAATATAGCGTATTGTCAGAAAATTTTTTCAACTGTAACTTAATTTGTTCATACTGGTTAGTTCTACGAGTTCTAACTTGTTCACGCTAGAGGTCTAGGAGGGTTGATCCCTTACTGATCTAGTGCTACTTCAGGAAGAAACTAACTTTTTTTATACTTGCTAGTTCTTACTACCAGTTCTAACTTGTTCACGCTAGAGGTCTAGGAGGGTTGATCCCTTACTGATCTAGTGCTACTTCAGGAAGAAATTAACTTTGTTTATACTTGCTAGTTCTTACTACCAGTTCTAACTTATTCACGCTAGAGGTCTAGGAGGGTTGATCCCTTACTGATCTAGTGCTACTTCAGGAAGAAACTAACTTTGTTCATACTGGTTAGTTCTACCAGTTCTAACTTGTTCACGCTTGAGGTCTAGGAGGGTTGATCCCTTACTGATCTAGTGCTACTTCAGGAAGAAACTAACTTTGTTTATACTTGCTAGTTCTTACTACCAGTTCTAACTTGTTCACACTAGAGGTCTATAGGAGGGTTGATCCCTTACTAACTGCCCTAGTGCTACTTCAGGAAGAAACTAACTTCGTTTATACTAGATAGCTCTATCAGTTCTATACTATTCTCCTTAGAGGTCCAGTAACTACGGGACATCTCTTGTATACTGATCCAGTGTTACTACAGAAGGAAACTTGAACTATAAACAAACATTGTTTATACTAGGTAACTCTATCAGTTCTAAACTGTTCTTCCCAGAGGTCCAGTATCCTTGGTGCTTGCCCAGCAATCCATAAACACGTGACAAAACTTACAGATAACAATGCAGGCAGATCCGTACGTAAACTTTCTTCCATGAACGGCAGCAATAGCATCAGACATTCTCTTCATCAGTGGCTCCTAACAACGTACAAACATATTAACAAAAACACAATCTTCACTTGTGAGAGATCAGAGATGTAGCTGTAATATATACCTGTATACTTTTATAATGAGGTGAATATCGTCTGGTGTGTCCCCATGGTGACATAATTAACTGACCAAACGAATGAATATCCAGGAAAACTTTGAGTTCATTTCTCCGAGACAAGAGGTATCGTCCTAAAGCGTAAGTCTCAGGTTCTGAGAATGCATGGCGACCATGATATAACATGTTGCACGGATCAGCACTCGTACCAGCGCCTAAAATGATAAAAGTGGTATTTTCTATGATGAAGGGGAAATTAGTTTTGGCCGATCAAGTATGTCAAACAAAACTTGCGATTTCTTTGGAAACCAGTACATCTCAATGGCTCAGTACGCATTCGATTGGTTAATCGGGTAGATTAAACGCATCTGATTGGTTAATCGGGTAGATTAAACGCATCTGATTGGTCAATGGTAGCAGCAGTGGAAGACAAATCAGAACACTCTAATCACTACTTAACGTCTTAACCTTGGTCGATGATGACGTCATAACACGGGTGTGACGTCAGGTCAGCCCTGATGAAGATACTAGACTGGAGTGTCTAAAGGCTGGGTTGTGAATGTAATTCGACCAAGGATTATATTCATTTACTTAAACCAGAGTAGCGAGCGAAACCATGTTTCAACTTTGAATAAATTTCAAAGAATATTTTACCTCCAAATTGATGGTTAAAATTCCTGTTCAGATCAACACCGATACACCCCCCTCGTCCAAATGAACGGTTTTTTCGCCAAAATCTCTCCTGTTTGAAAAATGATTTGTGTAATGTACAGTATACACTTATTTCTTATATCATAAATTTCACAAAACAAGACATATAAAATAATCTCACCGTACTAAATGAGTATTGATAACCGTCAACGTTGAGAACAGGTACAATGATCCAAGTGTAGTCGCTTCGAAGTGATGAGGCATTATGAGAAGTATTTGAAAGCAACTGTTAAAGACAGTCAAATTGAAAAACTCAATACACTGTCGTGATCTTAGAACTCGTATGTATTACAATCATTGCCAATAAAGAGATGAGCGATAAAGATTCCCCCGCATTTTTAGATAGAAAAAATGGTCACATTACCTGCCTGACAAGGAACATACATGTAGCTGGGCTCAGCCATTCACGAGCATGCAGTCCACAGTTTATAAATATCAACGGTCGTGCATTACTCTCATTTTCAAATATCTAAAAAAAATTAGAATGCGAAAAGTAAATAAGCATCACATTTTAAAACTACTTGGAACGTAATTAGAACGTAATTAGCAGTATTCTAGGTTTTTGAGCATTTTCGCAGAACGCGTGAGAGTGCGCTGAGCAAAGAGCAGTAAAATGGGGTTGGTCTCTCAGGCGCACTTGAAAACATTATGTTGGGCGGTACAAATACATATTTATTATTCACCTCTATGCCATAAATCCTATTGAACTCATACGAAGTTCCAATTCGAACAAGTTTTGCATGATTGGTTGTATAAACTAGTCTTCTTAATTCATCTAATATCTGGGAAAGAAAAAAACAGTTTATCTGAAAGTACATGACATGCACACAAGACAATGACATGCACACACAACAACAACAACGACAACGACAACGACAACGACAACGACAACGACAGCGACAACGACGGCGACGACGACGACGACGACGACGACGACGACGACGACGACGACGACAACGACAACGACAACGACAACGACAACGACAACGACAACGACAACGACAACAACAACAACAACAACAACAACAACAACAACAACAACAACAACAACAACAACAACAACAACAACAACAATATGAATACCTCTGAATAGGAGTGATATTTTGCATCAAAATCTTCAGATGTAGGTTTTGAACCGCTTGGAGAATATTCTTTCTGAAGTAATCTTTGTAGATCATTAACAAGAACTCTATATGTGATATTCTGATACTGAAGAACATTGGACAGTTCCTGGAGGTAGTTTGGTGGAATATGAATATCTACTGGTTGTCGGAGGGTTGTAGGATACGACCAGAAGTCAAGCTAATAAAAAGTACAATATTTAATTTAAAATAAAATGTACAATATTTAGTTCAATATTTTGTAGTAGCAAAATATGGAGGCTTTGGTGGCGTAGTCGTCAGAGCAAGTGACTTTCATCTCTGAGTTCGTGGGTCCAATACACTCTTCCGGAAAGTACGTCACTTTGGCTAGAGAGCCTCGTTTTCGTGTATCTGACATCAGTTGAAGCTCACGTTTCAATCACGAAAACGAGGCTCTATCAAAGATTAGATACTATAAAGATGTGTCACTCGACGTATTTCCCTAATGTTTGCGTGTCCGTAATTTTCCGTGCTGATCACGAGTGATCACGCGAGATGACGAGTGCATAACACTTACTGCCAAAATGGCGGCGAGACTGAATACAATAGGTTGCCATCGCGATGCTCGCGCTATATGACGAATTTTGACGAATTTGACACTTACTGGCAAAATGGCGGCTATAAGAAAATCTCGGACATAATTTTCGCAGAGTGACACATCTTTATAGTATCTAATCTTTGGCTCTATAGCCAAAGTGACGTACTTTCCGGAAGCGTGTGTTCTCGCTACGGACTCATGTGAAAAGAGTCAGTCAATGCTCTACCGAAAGTCGTGAGTTTTCTCCGGGTGCTCCGGTTTCCTCCCACAGGAAAAGTTGATGGGGTTGGGTCAGGATAAACACAGGTCACAATTGTTGTAAAGATAAAATAGTCTACGTTAAGTACTGTATATTTATGTAATACTTGATGTTAAGCGCATTTGATATTGCGCCATATTTGCTAATCGTAATTATATTCGTAAACTAATCCAACATTAAGCTTACCCCAAGCGAAGCAGATGCTGAATTAAGTTGTTGCAGAAAAGTCAGAGAATGGTTGGATGTTGGAACGATTCGGATCAGTTTGTGTCTGAAAAAATAAAAAAATCATATTTAACACTCATGGAATTTTCTTTGTCACACTTCCGGCTTTCTTCCAGGAAAACTTATATTGAAGTATTGAATTACAACATGTATCTCGAAGTGGGGTTGTCTGGCATTGAAAGACGGAAGTTGTTTAAATTTAGACATTTTGTTTCTTACATTAGGTCATATATTCTTCATAATGTCGGTTCAAACTGGTCAAGACTGGCAGTTGAATAAAAAGTCTGTGCAAGAGAGAAATGCGTGTATGTTTAATAACGCTGAGATGAGCGATATTCAACTCTCGTGTGGTGAAACTTACAAGGAAGTCTTCTACGCACATAAGTATGTTCTCGCAACAAGCAGTCCAGTGTTTCACACAATGTTCTATGGCAGTCTTCCCGAGACAAGCTCTGTGGTTCATCTGACCGATACTGATAAAGAAAGCCTTGAAGCGTTTCTTTGCTATTTGTACACAGATCAAACACCCATCGGAACAGAACTGGCGTTGAAGGTGATGTATCTGGCTCACAAGTATATGATCACAGCTCTAACAGAGGAATGCGTCAAAATCGTTAAAGCGAAACTCACAGCTCAAAACGCTTGGCTAGTGTTTGCATATACAATACTGGTTGGAGAAAAGTCCTTAAAAGAGTCAGGCTGGCAAGTGGTAGACTTAGAAACGCGAGCAGTTACAAAGTCGGAAAGTTTTAACGAGATCGACGCGAGTCTGTTGTGTGATTTTCTGAAACGGGATTCATTGCGGATCACTGAGCTTGAATTATTTCATGCAGTCTTGAAATGGTCAGAATATCAATGTCGAAGACGTGATTTGGAGGTTACAGGAGAAACTAGAAGATTAGTCCTCGGTGATGCTATCTACCATCTTCGTTTCCTTGCCATGTCGCACGACGAGTTCTTCCAGAATGTGATACCCACAGGTTTGCTGAAAAGTGAAGATTCCTTATCCATTTTGCAGAAATTCTTCGGCTATGATCCAGCTCAGTCATTGAAGTGGCCAGTTACAAAGAAGAGATCTGATTATCTGAGATATACAAGATTTGATGTGGAGAATGTCAGAGCTACTAGCAGTACATGGAGATATTTGTTTGCGTTAGTGTGGTGTAGATTTCATGAAAACCCAGATCAATATTTCTCCTGGAACTACTCTCGGAGAGCAAACGATTACCTTGAATTTAGAGTGGTCAACTCAGAGATCAAAACTGTTAAATCTACTGAACCTGCACCCGAGCAAGAAGCACTGATGTTCCACGGGGTTCGATTATTTGGTGATGCTCATGGCAGTACATACCATGTAACGATGAAGGCGACAGAATATAATGCCATGAATGGCGAAACTCTTAGTGGTACCTATACATCAGAATTTACCGCATGCAATAGTTATGGGTTTGATGTTGTGTTTTCAAAACCTGTTCGAATAGAACTAAGTCCGACATGGAGTTCAGGTAAGCCTACTAGGCGCCAACACTACCCGAGATCGTATACTTTACAATCCGAGTGGTGCACTATTGAACTAATGATAAAGGGACCGAGATCATACTATGGTGTTCGTGGAAAACATACTGTAAAAATGTGTGAACATAATTCTGTAGAATTTCGGGAATGCAATTCTCGTTATCCCAAAAACAATAACACAAGTGTTAATAGAGGACAAATCTTCCAACTTCTTATGACACCTTGTCAGCCATGCAAGGCCTGTGAATGTGAGGAAAGGCATGTGAGGAAACGCGGCAAGATACCTAATCATGATGTGTAAATATACCAATTATGTAAAATATATGTGACATATTTGAGTGTAGAGCGCCTCGAAAGTGCCAATCTGTCCTCTCAATGATGGCCGGAGAAAAATGCAAAATGTAAATACAATAATTTGATTAAATTATAAAAGTTTGAAATCGAGATCCAAGATATCGTATTGGCTTGCTAATTGACATGACAGCAAAAGCAAGGTCACGGCTGTTTCGAGAAAACTTGAACGTAAAATGTGTAAATCATATACCATTATCACCCCCACTAAAATCATCTTTGTGTGCTTGATTCTAGGCATTTGATGCAAGGTTTAATTTTGCGCAAATGACTAAATAATTTTCCCTATATAAACAAATAATCTATTGAAAGAAATTCATACGCAGTTATAAACTATAGCTGTCATTCGCGCTTCGCTAATATGGTCAACCAGTGACCTTCAAGTTCAGGAAATGAGAGCTATACTTTCTACACTTTCTAAAATGCAAGTTTTCCCGTGCATGATCACACTGAGATTACCTCAAAGAAATATTATCTCATTAAGATCTCAGCAAGAGAGGGCAGATCATCGTATAAAGGATTTTCCAAAGGACAAAGATTTATTACAATTGCCCGTAGGCTCGGTGAAAGGAAATTTTCAAATGAGGTATATCTCCTTGCTTCACTAAACCATCAGCGCTCCAATGTTTCTATAGCACGCTCTGTGTTGCACTTAATCGATTGCTAATGCTAACCGACGCATAAACAGCGAGACATGAATCCATGACATAATCTTAATATACTGGGCTTGCCGCTTGAGCTATAAAACATAGTTCTTTCATATGTTGTGAACTTCAACACCTATAGTTATTCTCAAAAAAAGACACACACTCGAATCTGGGCATCAATATTTGAACTGAGAAAACAATGTGTTTTAATGAAATACAGTACAATAAAACTCAAAAAATTTTCATTCTTCTAATGTAAATACCTAAATACCGCGTTTCGACCAAGTTTCCGGTATTGTATTTCTCTAAAATATTCAACGGATACCGCAAACGTGTGTTTACATTCAAATACTCAATCTGCTCAGATGTCGTTGTGGGGTTACTTGACGCTCTAATTTAGTAGCGATTTCACAATGTCTACAATCAAATGCTACCTACTAACCTACATAAAACAAAGTTATCAATTTATCAATCTGGCGGAAAATATTTAATCTGGATTGACAAAGCGCGCTACGTTAAGTCTTTGTCTTATATAAATTGTCTTTAATAATATATAACCAGCACGCAAACATGTTCTATTTAGTTTGTGAAATTTTCATGCTATTCGGGCAGTATGAGAATTTGTTAAGATTAAATCAAGACACAATACCAGCAAGCAAAAAGTACTCAACTAACCGAGATGATAATATTAGTCTTTCTACAATAATTCTGTATGACTTGACACAACCACAAATGCCTTGTATCGAATTCACAAGCACTATTTAAACATTTTATGTAAATGTTCTTCATGTATTATTAACGAGTGATTTAAATATTTATACAGATACACATACCCATCATATCTAACTTTTTGCGCGCCACTTGAAATATGAAATATAAATACTAGAAGAGAAAAAATTGCCAGTGATCTCTCCATGACCCTGCTTATCATTTTGTGCGTCAACTGATAGCTGTGTGAGTCAGTGTGACGTCGCTCCTTGGCCGAGTCACTCAGGATTTCCGTTCGAGGACTGAGTATGAGCTCATCTTTTATGCTCAACTTCTGGGTCAATCTCGCAGGCTCGGGAACGAGATTGCTTCTGGGTCCGATAAATAACAAACTTTATTGTTTTTTGCACTTTTTCCCCAATGGCCTCGCTTCCGTGTTCGCTTGTTTCAGCATGGCAAGCACATGAAGGTTATATCTCCATGTTTCGTCTATGAATGTGTTTCTCCTTTATCTTGAGCCCAATCATAAACCTACCACTCGAAACATAAAGACTAATAACCACATGAAAACCAGACCTATATCTATATTTCGAGCCATATTTATGTATGAACACAATCCTATGTTTATCTCAATATCCTAATTCTTAATCCTAACCTTGCAATGATCATTTTCATAACCCGAATGCTAATTAACCCTTGCCCCGTAATCTTAACCGTTACCATAAACCTAACAGACCTGTATATAATTTACGACAATACTTTTTGTTTTGTCTGACTCGACCTTCTGATACGCAAAAGAATCATTATTAATTGTCTATAAAAATGTAGAATTACACATTTTCGCAGCTTGGGCCACAAACGAATGTATTATTTAAACAGGATTGCAGCTGAAACAACAAACTCACACCAGAGTTAACCGTCAGCCTCACAAAGTAAAATCTTTGACAATGCACATTTCAGGTGTACATACAGCAAAGTACACTGAGTTAACACTGGCAGACCAATGCTATTGACACAGCAGGGACAAGGCGTGTTTTGCCAGTTTTAACTTACAACACAGAACAGATCAAATCACTTCCCAAACAGACATTAAACATGTTCGTGTTCAGGTTAACTTCGTTTCTTTGCTTCGCTGTTTTGTATCTTACTTTCACTGAAGCTGGTCAATACGATGGGTAAGGATAGATTAATGCTTTGCTAATATATACATTATATTTTGTGTTCATTTTCACGCAATGTCTTTTGCACAGTCAGTTATGTATTGAAGTTCAAGCCAGGCGCATTCGACTTTTAATTATTGAATTGACTGACTCACGATTTAAACGCATATACGAAGAGAAATAGTAAATGATAAGTGTGCTCATTAATTATAATCTACGCCTGGAATCTACGTATTGTTTTTAATCATTATCTCATTGTAGCGACGATTTAAACTAAAATGCGTCAAACCAGTACTTGCATGTTATGCTGATGCGTCATGGCATTATTATTGCATTTATCAGCACCGTCGTCGTGCGCGTAATATGTCACAACCAAACCTCAGCAGGTTTTTATACCGTAGTTGCTATACGGCGGATTTTAAACACAGACTGGCATTAGACTGCTTAAGCAGGATAGCAATACATAGGCATTGAATATTGATTGAATCGTGTCGAAAGTGAGTGCTATAGCTAAGGTTAGGATAAAAACATGTGGGAAAATAAAGGTAATCTAAAGGTTACGAATGGGGTTATCCACAATTATAGAAAAGTTTACTTTGTTCGGAGTTATTATTGTTTTGTATTTTGTGTAAACACTCCATGGTTCCGGCAATTTCGGCTTAAAAGGTTAATGCAAGTTAAATCGTAACCAAATATCCAACAGTACGTCAGTACGAACTCATAATAGTGAAAACGTGGGCGTACTGCGGAGGCCACAACACTGAAAGTTTCCTAAAATTGTTTTCTTGGGTGAGCTTGCCTTTCAGTTTCAACGTGTAATAGTCGGTAACAAGTTGAAACGTCTGGGAAATATCTTTACTTTCAGAAAAGTGTTCCGAGTGGTCCCGCAGACAGATGAAGACATCAAGAATTTGAGATCCTTGGAGGCGGATTATGGATTGGATGTTAGTTGAATTAGAAGGAATTAATTAGAATTCTAATTATAGAATTAGAATGATTCAGAGAATTTCTCGGTGGATTTGATTGTTCGGATGTGGTGTTGGTGGTAGTGGCTAGTGTAGCTTCCTTCACAAAGAATGTGACGTATGTGAGGAGAGTGTTTCCAGTTTGATTCTACCAAACATCCCAGGTTACAACTTTATAGGGATGGTCCTTACTGGACCTCAAGGCAGACCAGTTTAGAACTGATAGGGATATAGTTAGTGTAGTTTAGGTGTTTTGATCAGATAAGTCAGAACATGGAACCACAAATAACTAACTGGCACATCTGAATCTAGGTGGACTTTTGGCAAGCCCCGTCCCAAGTTGGAAGAAATGTAGACATCTATGTCCATGAACAAGATCTCAGCACAGTCGTGGATCTCCTGAAAAAGTTCACTTTGAACTACACCGTGCTTATCGATGATGTCGAGTCAGCAGTGGTGAATGAAAATCCACCAAAATCAAGAGCTGGAGGATTTCAGTATAACCGCTACAATACCTTGTCACAGGTAAGCTTTGTAAGACCATTTTCTTGCCATTTATGATAAACTAGAATTTAAGCTGCACTATACGTGGGCACTTGCACTTGCAGCGTCTTGCCTCTCACTGCATGCATAAGTTGAACTGCTCAGTTTATGGATCATGCAGAGGTAGTTCATGTCTATTGGCCTAAAGTGATCTGATGTTGTACAGAATTCACTTCTGAGTTGAACATGACATGATCATGTAAAAGTAGCACATGTTCTTGAATGTAGACAACCCTAAAGTGATCTGATGTTGTACAGAACTCACCGCTGAGTTGAGCTTGGTTAGATCATGCAGAGGTAGTACATTTTCTTGAATGTGGGCTACCTTAAAGTGATCTGATGTTGTACAAAACTCGTTGCTCTGAGTTACCATGGTGAGATCATGCAGAGGTATCTTGAATGTGGAATACTCTTTGAATGAACTATAGTGTCCTTTTTGCATTTCTTCCAGATTTACGCTGAATTGAGAAGTCTCGCTTCCAGTCATTCTAACCTCGCTTCAGTATTTTCAACTGGAAGATCGTACGAAGGAAATGAGCAACTGGCCGTCAAGGTAGGATATTTGACAGAGCAATGGTCAATACTACTTCAAACGAAATCATGGGCGAATCCAGAGAATGTTGAGATATTCCTGCGGCTATCTATGCACTACCAGCGAATGTAAAAATGCCATAAATACCAGAATGTGTTGTTTGGAACCACGGTTAACCCTATTAACCCCTCCCCCACAAAAAATATACCCATACTTTATAACCTTACCATAGTGTTGTTGTAATCCATTGCTGTACGATTATTGAACGTTGTTTTAGATCAGTTCTGGAGGAAATAAGAAATCATATTTTGTCAACTGTGGTATTCATGCTCGTGAGTGGATCACGCCCGCGACATGCATGTACATGATCCGAGAGGTATAGAAGAATAATTTAATGTCCTTTACACAGGATAAAATTATATCTCTATACATATTTTTTCTGCACTTCACCTGGTTGAAACTGAATACTGGACTAAATGGATAATCCATGTGACGATCTATATACACTTTTAATGCCTAACCAGCTAGATGTACTGTAGTTGCACACTCATGCTCGACAAATAAGGGTTCGCTCTTAAGGCCCGTTAACACTTGCGATTCCAGGTGAGATTTCCTTCTTCTGATGGATGTGAACGAGTGGATGATGAGGGTACAAACTGCACACCAACTCGTCTACTCGTTCACATCCATCAAAGGAAGAATACTAGAAATTGCAGCAAAGTCTGAACGGGCCTTAGTAAGAGGGAAAACCAGAAGAGTCGGAAACGTCGGAAGCTAAGGAGAGAACCAGCCACAACATTACTTATATATATGAGTTTTCGGACACAGGGCAGTTATTCAACCTAAATAAACACACTGTGCTTATCTTCCTGAGAGTCAACATTTTGCCATCTTTGTTTCAGATGTTAACTAAATATAATCAAGATTCATCCGTGAAACGCATGGTGGATAAAATGGACTGGGTGATAATGCCATCACTCAACCCAGACGGATATAAATACACTTGGAGTGGTGTAAGTTCTCAAATATTATATGGAGCTTAAGCAAGCAACGTTTTTATCAACACGGAGGTCAGATTAAAAACTGTGTTTGTGCCAGTTTGTGGTAATCTTCAATACATATCACAAAACATAGGAAATTTTTTGCTTCCTCAATGCCGCCAAAATTTGTTATACCAGTTATTAGTTATATTCCAGGTGATCTCGAAAAAGGTCTGGCACTAGTTGTAAAATAGAAATCCATTTCTGGTTTAAAATTACTCAATATCTCATCAACGGTATTAGATTTCTATTTCAAATTTGTCCCAGACATTCATTTCCCTGTGCTCACAGACACAAAGTTTCAAACAGTTTCACAAAAGAATCAGGGCGTGACAAGTGATTGAAGGTACGAAACTGGATTTCTATTCTGTTGCTAGTCCCAGTCCTTTTGCTTACCGTCAGATCACCTGGTTAATTGTTCCTTGGTAATCAGCTATTCTTCCCTCAACATTAAATGAAGATTTATTACGCGAGTAACTATCTTTAACCGAATTATTCAATTTATTTAGAATCGAATGTGGCGTCGAACTCGCACAAGACACGGCAGTTGTATTGGAGCTGATCCCAACAGAAACTGGAATTATAAATGGGGAGGTAATAATTGATGAAGACACAACACTTTTTTCTGTTGAATCTTAGCCCTTTTCCGGTTAAGATCATCAGCTCTGCTGTTGTACTCCCAAAACAAACGTTACGTCTGTGTGGGATACGGTTGGTTGAATGGAAAAGGCGTGTCTTAAATTAAATCCTTTATTTTAACATGGCTTTAATTTTTCAATCAGGTGTTGGTACCAGTTCTCGGTGCAGTGATACGTATCACGGCCCAAGACCATTCTCTGAAGTCGAGACTTACAATGTTGCAAAATATTTGTTGAAACAACGGCGGAATCTGATTGGTTACATGGATATCCATGCATACAGTCAATTGTGGATGACACCTTGGGGATACAAGAAGGCGTATCCTAATGATAATGGGGAACAGGTGGGTACATTTATTGTAATTTGTGGACATTTACAACACATGATAAAACTTCTAAGGTGGAATTTATCATCGTACTCGCGAAAATTGTTGAGTTTTCACCTAGCACCATCCTTCACTATCTAACAGTTTTGAGAGTGAGAAAATGTTTTCATTTTAAATACGATTAAGAGAAGTAATTTAATTTTCTTGTTCCCATATTCAATGGTAAACATTTCTAATCGAAACCAACTAACTGAATAATGTATTTTTCTAGGTACGTGTTGGTAACATTGCAGCGACAGCGCTCAAGAATGCAGGATATGGAACAACTTACAAAGTGGGACCTTCTTCAGTTATCATTTGTAAGTAATGTACGAGATCTGAACAAAACTTATATTCAACTATTACATTATATCTTTTTGCCCTGCAGATGCAACGACTGGCTCGACCGGGGATTGGGCCTCGGGTGTCCTGGGGGTGAAATACTCGTATGCTCTAGAACTCCGAGATAAAGGAAGATACGGTTTCATCCTGCCAGCCAATCAGATCATTCCCACAGGACATGAAACATTTGCTGCGATGAAAGCAATGGCGAACGCCATGAAAATGTCTTGATTGCGATATTGATGTACTTCATTCAGAAATATTGTTTATGAATTAAATGAAATAAAAATCAAGAGTGGTTTAATGTATTTTTAAATGCGGCTTTTCTAGTCTGTATCTACACAAAATTTCACGGAGTAGCTTTGAAAGATTCTGCGCAAATACGAGATTCTGGGGCAGATAAGAAATTCTGCTCCTTGACATCGATTAAGGGATTGTGCTCAACTTACAATTGAGGAGCAAGAAAATTAACGGAAATCTCTCAATTCCGCGGGTTGACCAAGGTTGATCACCATCTGCTGCACGATGCTGCTAGGTGAAAACACGCGCAGGCGCATTCAACGCAGAAAACTGACCTGGTTATAAATGGATTGTTATCCCTGGTGTCCAAGAAGCTCAACTAAAAATAAATAAATAAAGAGATAAACACGTCTGACATAAAATCATTCGGTAAAACGGCCCCCGTAATGAAGCTCCAGCTCTGTGGGACGTCCCTGCTACTTGTGACAAAGCTTGTAAATGAATAAAAATAAATAAATAAACTAAAGTAAATCTTTCTTAACACAGATGCAACATCTGGGGCAACAGATGATTGGGCGTATGGTTTTCTCGGATTAAAGTACTCCTACGGTTTAGAACTCCGGGACAAAGGTCGCTACGGGTTTTTGCTGCCAGCAAACCAAATCATCCCAACAGGAGTTGAGACGTTCGCTGCTATGAAAGCAATGGCACAAGCGATGAAGATGTGAAAATATTGTATTTCTCAAAACAGGAAATAAAATTTAAATTAAAGTATTTCCTTTGTTTTAAATGTTTTGTCCACAAGAGCTTAATTTAATAATAACTAATTATCTTATTATTTAAATTTTTCATTAGTTTACCAATAAACTAACCAACTGTCCAAGATAAGTAGCCATGCAACTAACTATAATTAAATAATCTACTAAATAATTAATTAGCTAGTTACTTTCCCACGAAGGCCTTTTTATGCATACATATTGTTCCAATTAAACATCATAATTAATCTTAATTACCAAATTAACATCAATTAGATTAATTGATATTTAAGACCAAGTATTGATTTAAATTCTAATTAATCGCAGTTTCTTTACAAGTATGGATCACTGATGTCAATGCTGTTACCCAAATAATTGTAGGGAAGCAAGAACCTGGTTATCAGTATTCTACTCTGTTCTAACTCAGGTCTATTCCATTCTTTTTTGTTTTATTCTAATACAGTTCTATTCTGTTCCATTGTTACTTTCACTTCATTCTATTTTATTTCTCTCTATTCTATTCTGTTCCATTATATCATATTCTGTTCCAATCCATTCTATTTCATTCTACTAGTACTCCATTTTGTCCACACGGTTAATATTAAATTAGAATAAGATTGCGTGAGAATATTTGCCAACAGTATTGACCCTGATAAAATCTTCCCACGTCACCGGCAAAGATATTTTTAAAATAGAAAATCCGCCAGTGATAATAAACATCGCGCACTTAAACCTCATACATCATAATACATAAATTATCAACGCCCTCGCGTAGGCGTCCCGATCCTACGAAGTAGGGGGAAATGAATGACGGAAGACTTAAGTAGTAACATTGGGCCAATAGAGAATTCTTTTTGAGCAATCCTATTTTTAGAGATTAGAATTCTCCTGTAGCAATAATGGATGAACATAATGGAATGTCTCTCGCAGGATCTCTATAGACAAAACAAGTGAAGTTAACCAGAATAAATAAAGCTATAGTTTAATTAAAATTCTTCTGTAGCAACAATGGATGAATACAATGGATGTCTCTTGAAGGATTTCTAGGCAAACAAGTAAAGTTACCCGGAATAAATAAAGCTATAGTTCAGAATTCTCCTGTAGCAACAATGGATGAATATAATGGCATGTTTCATGCAGGACCTCTACTAAAAACAAGTAGAGTTATCCAGCATAAACAAAGATAATTAAATTTTCCTATTATGGCACCAACTTAAAAAAAAAAATGAGATTGATTACAAGTGCTTGAGTAAAGATCCTCGAAGAAGTACTTGAAATGACCGCTTACCGCCGCGGAAATATCAATTTCGTCAATCGTGAGTTTGAGATAGTACTGCTATATTGGTACATCCTTTCTGATAAGATAATTTCTCGGTAGATTACAATCTCAAGGACCGCAAAACACCCGATAACCTTGAATTGCAACTTTTTGTTCATTGTTTCCCATCCGTTAGCAACAGGACAGTAGAAATTTCACATCCAGGAGGACCAAGAGACGAGGAGAATATAGTCAAGTGTATTTCTTTTCAAAGATCAAAAGCTTTTCTACCTAACTGCATATGTTTCAGTCTCACGTTCAATAATAGATAAGGCATAAAATTTCAAACGGAGTAAAAATAGATCGAAGTATATGATTAAAATACTGGAAGGATTATAGCCTATAAATACAGGCAGGCAAGGCGGTGTGTCAGGGGACGAGATCAGGACGTTCATTGGCAAGGTTATGAGATCGTAAGGTCAGTCAGATACAGTCTGGGCTACTTTTCTGTTTTGCATTTACGCACGCAATTCTAATTTTATGTGAAGTACATGCCGTCCACAAGGCTGGGGTATGGGAATCAGAGCGTATCAGCGTAGTACGCGTGGCCAAATGAAGATGACGGGGAGAGGGGTGGGGTATATGGAGCAAGAACTTCAGTCATTCTGCCTATAAGAAAAGTGAAGACAAGATGTCAGGATTGACGTCCAATATCTACGAAGGCTGTAAACAGTTCTAATCCCATTTTCCCAGTTTTTTCTAACGGACCGTATCCAAAAACCACAATATTATTCTTTAAATTGAAGTCAAAGTACGAAATTTCCAGCACACTCCTTACAGACAAACTGAATAGAAATGTAAGTGACGTAGAGAGCGTCCATTACTTCAGCATTACATACACGTTTCTGATTTTCAATTAATTTTAATTAAAAAGGTAAAATCAAGGCGAAGACCATCAATAATTTGGCAATTTCAATATCCACACACATTATCAGGAAATGAATTTTACAAAAGTTACAATGTGCGTCTTAATGAACGTTCTAGAACGTCTTCGGACCAATGGGGTGTGCGGTCACGGCGGGTAGTGCACGTGTCTTCTGTGAAAAGACGTGACCCCACTTTACGGCTAAATCAGTATCACACTAGAATTTCTCTGGGGACTCCAGTTTTCTCGTGTAGCAACACTGGACCAATGAAGAGATGGACTTCACTGGACCTCTAGGAAGAAAATAACTGATAGAGCTATCCGGGAGGGCGCCACGGGGGCTTCGGCGGCAAGATCGTCAGAGCGTCTTTCACAGGGGCGGCGGAACAGATTTCGTTCTGGGGGGGGCTAAATTTTTTCGGCGACCCCCCCCCGTCGCCAAAAAAATTTCGGTCAGTGTACCACTTTAGGGGTATAATATACAAAAAAAGGGCCGAAAAAAATTTTTCCGGACTTATATCAAAAAATGTTTTCGCAAATACGCTTTTTTTAAACAGTTTACTTCTGGGGGGCTTTAGCCCCCTAGCCCCCCCTGTTCCGCCGCCCCTGGTCTTTCACCTCTGAAATCGTGGCTTCGGTTATCGCTACGGAATCGTGACACTTCTGTGAGCCAGTCGACGTTCTGCCGAAAGTCGTGGGTTTTCTCCGGGTGCTCGGGTTTCCTCCCACACGGGAAAGTTGACAGGGTGGGTTTTGATAAGCCCCTAACTCACCCTTCCACCGTAGCTATGCCGCGTGATCAGGTAAGAGTGATAAGTTCGCTCCCAGAGGCAACACCGCGGAAAAACGTCTGCGCATGCGTCAACCTTACCTGTAAGAGTATTGCGAATTTGATGAGAAGCTGTTCCGAACGTTTCCGAAGGCTCAAAATGGCGGTAAAAAGGAGTGACTTCATTGTGCGTCTTTACAGCCAGATTTCGAGCGCGAAAATAAACATGTCATTCTAAAAACTAGGAATAAATACAGCCAGAAGGTTCAAGAAATTGTATTGTACAAGAACATGAACTAAAGGTGATTGTTGACAAATTTATCGTCTGAAACATTTTGTTTATCAACTAAGCAACGACAATTTCCGAATTTTCGTTTGAGATACATTTCTTTAAAAAAAACTGTGTCGCCAAATATAAAAAATTTTCGTGTTCACAATAATTAAACTTTAGGATTTATTCTACAATTTGAGTGGGTTAAGAAGCTTAACTTTTCGAGAGTTTTCTTAACTTTTTAGTTTGAATTTTTGTTTTGAATAATTTTGCAAAAATTTTCGAAGTCGTGTCCGTTAAAATCAACAATTTTTTACATGAATTATATTTCATTCCATACTTTAAATGCCAGGACGCTTTCAATTAATGTCTAGTCTACCCATTTCGGCTATATTTTCTCGTTTGTTTTACTAATTTTTGACCAATTAATAAGCATGTTTTTGTTTTAGAAATTGATATTCAAATTACCCGCCATATTTTCATAATTTGGTGCATGCGCAGACGTTTTTCCGCGGTGTTCCCAGAGGCGCCCTTAGAAAGCCTTCGACTTGATCAAAGCAGGTTGAGCTGTGGCTTCCCAATTCAGCAGGCTCACTTACTCACTTTTACTGACTAACAATTAGGATTTAGTTGTCAAAGACTTATGAGTAGTTGGTCAGTAATTTAATTATCTCCTTATTCCCAAAAGTTACTGGTGACTTCTTATTCTGTCCAGCAGCAGACGATGTAAATGAAGGATACATTGCTGAGGAGAGTTAGCATAAAATTCTGCAATGTACACATGACACACTTGGAGATTAATGTGTTTGTTTTATGAACAATACGTCGTGATCTTTTCAACAGATAATGTCAATTCATATAATAATGCGTGTTTTCATTTTGTTTCCTTTGTGATGTCTGCTATGATTCCTGTCGGTTCTAAATTATGGCGGAAACCTTTCAAGATATCAAAACCGGAACACAGTAATCAAGTCGTCACAGGAACAGTCACCCTACAGTATCTGGGAGTGTTTTAATGAGCCGGACATGGGGTTCCACACGTTAACATTGACTAGTAAGCTGGCCATTTGCTTGGTAATTACCAGAAAGAGATAAAGGAACGGTCGAAGCTTCGAGCGAAAGATTCTTGTCTGGATATCTATGGTCAAAAAATTGCCTTCAAATACGGCGCAGACAAAGAGCTTTGGCTCGGTCTTCTTCATTTCTTTCAGGTAGATAAAAACCACGACAGTTTATTAGTGAATTAATGAAGCACCCCAGATATTAGGCAACATGTATTATCTTTGAATCTCCAGCTGAGAGCTATAACACACACATCTACCTGTCAGGGCACATGCAGTCTAAGCCATGGATTCATGTAAACTGGAGTAGGAAGATGCGAGGGGCATTTCACTCCAAAAAAGCGTACGGGATTTTCGGATTTTTAAAAATCCGCGGATTTTTTAGCGGATTTTCCCCGAATTTTTAGTGGATTTTGAAGAGAAAATCTGTCGGATTTTTTCCGGATTTTTTGACGAAGTGTACGGGATTTTTGGAGTGAAATGCCCCTCGGGAAGATGAACTCGGATAAACTACAGGATGACCAACTTCCCAATGAAGGTCCTTCGCTCGAAACGTCGAAGTTCTCTTTGTATTTTTGAGGTAGTTGTATCCCTATCAACGAAAGCTTGTTATCATTGGCACTACCCACACTGGCACAGATCAGTCAAGATTACAGTGTTACAACTCCAGGTCAGAGCGCTCCAGTCTTTGCATTGTTCTATGCTGATTATGACGTATCTGCGGTCAATGAAACTACGGAGTTTGATAGGGCAGTCAAAGAGTTTACAAGGGCAGAGAAGAGACGAGATCGCTAGAGTAAAGATCAGAATATCAAGCAGTAAAGAGTTGACATCTCGGAGACGAGCCTCGGAGGTATAAAGCATTGTTTCTGAGTATTGTTTGCTTCACAGGATGTGGTTAATAAAACGCACACTAGGTGGCACAACGTGAACTAAGCAGTATTCTGCTGTGGTATTTTACGCACATTCAAGTATATAAGTGAGAACACAGTTTGACGTCTTGGCTGACAACCCTTGCGAGCGTATAAAGAGCAGGAATCACACTAAACTATTACACTCAAGTCAGAACCTGAGACAGGCAAGTCTGTGAAGCAAACACAAAGATTTAGAAAGCTTGAAATTCTCAACGATGTGGTCATTAGCGCTGTATGTTCTCCTAGCAGCCTCGACAGCAATGTCAAATAATTTTTATGGAGATTTTTATGAAGGGTATGTAGTCCTAATCATACTTTTATGTGATAAGTTTATGGAGTATTTAAATCAATTCTTATTCTGGTAGTCGATATAGTTGTAACCTCACATAGTAGAAAAATCTATTGAAGTAGCATCGTTTATTATAAGATAAATTATAATATAACCGAGAAAAAAATCTGTAGTCTAAAACTGGCATGGGATTTTTAGATTTTTAACAAAAAGACAAGTAAGTCTATCTCTTCTGTTTATTGATACAATTAGAGTTTGCGGTTTTTACTAAGTAGGACGGAAAAGGATGGTCGTTAATACTGTAATTCAAGTAGATGTATGAATTGAAGCCTTGTATAGTACGGAGATAAGATTAGGATAAAAAGACAGCTTTTAACAAAGAACAAATAACTTATTGAAAGTGTCTTTCAACTGAACACAAAATCCTATTTTTTCACTCTGAACACATCAGGTGTAGAAGTGTAACAAACTTTAATCTTCTTATATTTAAGGAGCTACGATTTACAGTTAATTTTGAAAGGAAATATTTTAATCTTTTGGTTGAACGTGCGTGGGGTTGGAATGAAATCATTCTTTTAATTAGATAGAAGGAAGGGAGGCATCTCAGATATACATCTGTTACTCGCCAGAAAGAATACAGATAGCACAAATATTCGTTACTAAGCATTTGTGCAATTAAGACGGTGACAGAAAATTGCCAAAATATTTTTTATCCAAATAAGGAGGAGAGTGCCTTTATATGGCTTGCAGCCTCTTCCAAAGATGGAGTAATTTACGAAATGTCGCGAGCCTCATATTGCGTTTACATACACAACGATATAAACAAAACATTAAACCGAGTGGTTTAAGTATTTAGAATAATCGTAAGCCTATTACAACACTTGAGAATATAAATCTAGAGCGAAAGTTGATAGTTTAGAGATGAATCACAAACGTATAAAGCATTAGGTATAGAAGACTTCGTTCACATTTGAAGAACAACATTGATAAAACTAAGATAGTATGATAAAAATTTCAATAAAATTTGTCTAAAACTATCCATGGATTCAGTTTCGATTTGAAGAAGGAATTTTCATTATTCTTCAAGGAGTTCCTCGTTATCGCTGATCCATGTAATCCGATGAAAAATGTCCGTTTGTCTTTCACAATTGAAAAGAACGACTTGAAAATGTAGGCTATTACGCCTTCAGAACGATATAAATATAAGGAAAGGGACATAGAGAAAAAGGAAGACATTTTGCGACGTCATTATACACATGAGTGTTTTTCAGAAAGATCTAAACTAGAACGCCCTGAAGAGATGTCACGTTGTAGTAACGCTGTATGATTTCACTGAACGTCAACGCTCACGGGAGTTTAAGCTCTCGTTAAATCTGTTAATCTCATAAAACGTTTAGTAACTTTATCCATGTACGCGCTTTTTGAAAAGGAACTACAGATGAGAGGTGTGGAGTATTGAACGGCACTACGACACGCGCAGTAGAAGTTTATGAGCTCTCGTTATTTTTTTAAATTTCATGAACTGTTGGTAACTTAACTTCATCCATGTAAGCACTTTTCTGAACTTTAACGTCCTGATTACGCAAAGATGAGTATTTCAAACAACAGCGGTTTCATTGAACGGCCTTACGCCAACGCACAGAAACAGGTTATAAGCTCTCATTAAATTTATCATCTCTTAAAACCAGTTAACTTCATTTCGCACAACCAGAAGTGACTTTAACGCCCTGGCCGTACAAGAACAAATGAGACGAGTGTTTCAACCAACAGCACAAGCTCTCCGTAGATCTTTTAATATCTTAAAATTTAACTGCGCAAAGAACTTTCGAGCCCTGATCATGACAAACGAGAGACGAAAAAGGGTTTGGCATTCATGGGCAGTATCATTAAAATCACTTGCACTTAAATTGAGCTGGCTTAAAATTTGTAAGAGGAAAACTGAGGAATTAAGTTCATTTGATGAGTCACAAGAGTTGCACAAGATCGTTTTATCTTTAAATTGAAGGAACGGCATACAATCGTGACAAGGAAAGCCCTGCAGGCAAAATTTAATCTTTCACATCATCATGAATTGAAGAACAATCAACATATCGTGCCAACATTATTAACACGCAGTTTTGCGTTAAGTGGTTTCGCTCTAAGCTTGCGTTAATTCCGGGTGTGAACACGGAACGGACGTCAATCTGCGGTTCCTTGTAAAAATATTCCGGAAAATGTTTGAGAGAAATATTATAAAATGGGTGATCATGAAAACTTAAGATTGTTAGGTAACTGTAATGTGAAGCTTTTGTTTGACATTAATCTTATATTTTAAAAATATTCCAGCTTGTTGAACTTCAGTTCATGATGTCACATACACAGTTTGTGAATCTCAGTGACGTATTCTCTGCTTGTTTCATGGTTGTTTGTGAGACGTGTTTACAAATTACCACAAAAAATTATCATTGTCAGTAAACAGATGATATGAAATCTTAAGTGTTTTGTTTACAGATTGCTCTTATAACGTATTTAGCTACTGTGATTGAGTTAATACAAGTAAACATGCAGTTAATCTGATTTTAAGTTTGGAAAATCTAATTTGAAGTGAAGTGCAAACACTAGCATATGTGTTCGAAGCAGACTTCTGCTTTGTCTTGGATTTATGACAACGCTTTATGGAAATATTCAAGGTGTTGGTTTAATATCTGAGAAAAGTGAAGAAAACTCTTTCTGGAAACGTTATAACTCTATCTCTTTGAAAACACCTCCCCTCGACTTATATTATTTCGCTACAAAACAGTTCTACTGCCGACTCTATATATGGTTGGTTATACATCTTTGAAGTTCGTGACTGTCCGTTGAACAGTGACGTGTCACTTATTAGCGAAAGATAAGAACTTGAGATAGTCAGATAGACAATCACCCAACAGAAATATTGCGAAATAAGACGGCATGATTACAAACTTAATTCTTTAAAAACTCATTAATTTACTGGTTCTAATCTGTTGTAGTTTGTATAAGGACAGGAAATTGATCTCATTATAAAATTGAACCATTGTATAGGCTGTTTCCTGAGATTAATGTACTTTTCTAAAATGTTCCTTTTTCAATTTAATATTAATTGCTACATCTCATATCCAAATTGTTTCAAAGTTGCCATCGTGATAAAGCGTAGAGCAAACGAAGAAACTCAGCGGATATTCTGCAAGAGTAACAATTTGACTGCATTCCGTTCACTTTAATCCAATTTGTGGTTGTATCAGCAATGAATATCGTAAGTATAAAACAAATAACTGTTTCATTAAGTTTTGCAACAATTTTATGACAGTAACAATTTCATTGCATTCTTTATTTTAATCCAATTAGTGCAAATGTATAGACTATAGTATTCGTAATAATACAAAAGAACTATTTCATTATAAGCTAAAAGTTCTACAACAATTTTATGACAGTAACAATTTCATAGCATTCTTCATTCTAATCCAATCAATGGTTATAATTTGCATGATTTCTCATGAATGGTAGTTATAGGGCCGATGTATGCATGGCTATAGTGTAAGACAAATACAACTTTCATTAATCTATAAGGTAGAAAATCTTGCAAGAATTTTGAAGACAGAAAAAATTTCTTCACATTCCTTAATTATGGTTGTATTGCCAAGGTAGAGCATTTGTATCGTCACATTCCTTAATTATGGTTGTATTAGAGCATTTGTATAATGCAAATAATCTAGAAAGCCGAAATTTTAAAAAACGTTGCGACAGTAACAATTTTCTCAACTGAATTCCTTCACTTAATCCAATCAATGGTTCTTGTATGTGACCAATGTATAGAACTTCCTGATTAACTCGGAGATGAACAAAGCAGTTGTTCCTTCAAACAAAAGACACATAACGATATCATCACAGCTCACAAAAGGCGTTATCATTTCCAACTTCCAACAGAGTTTGTGTAATTAGAAAAAGATTACAGCGTCAGATAAGTCGTGTTTTAATAAGACTTCTCTCTCCAAGCCCTGTGAGAACCGCTGAGTTCTCTACCGTGAGGTTTTATTGACGGAATTACGCCCCGATTTAACTAATAAAGATTGACTCTGTCTAGGCCTAGACGTATTGGTTACAAATCATTATTACTGCCAAAATCAAGAATTAACGACTGAGTTGTCTACACGATGATTTTATTGAAAATACATATACGCTTTGTTTTAACTCTGTCTACGTATGTTTACGAATTCAACCTATTGCTTACTATTTTGAATAAGCCACTCAATGACGTGCAGAAAAGATGCATATGGTAAAAATGTGTAAAAGTAAAATTAAAAAATGGAAACTACGCTGCAAAGTTGATGTATTCTTGATAAACCCACGCAGACTGCATACCAAACCTCGATGGAATGCCGTGTTCCATTATTTTCTTGCTATCTCAAAAATTAAGCTGCATGCCTGATGTCCTATCTAAGCCGGTTCGAGCACATCTGGTTTAAGGCTATATAGTTAATAAAACAGCATGTATTTGCCCTAAACAGCAAGAGTCTAAATCGTGGTCATGGTAAAATGTAAGCACCCGTGGTACTGTGGTAGTCATGTAAGTGTTTCCCCTTACCGACCTAACAGTTTGCCTTCAAGCAAATTCTATAAGATGGCGGTCGCATTTGTTACTGATCCACCTGTAGTGTTCGGAATGATTGAATCTTAATTACTTGCTTATATAACTCATTACAAGTGAATTGCAACCCAGCAGCATGTTGGAATAATCATTGAGAAATCACACTTTGTCACATTCATATGAAACTCATTCATGCCTTCATTTACATGCCTTCATGTCTATGAATTAAGTTGTCCTCGATAAAATACTTTCTGTGTGCAGTTCAAGGACTAACAGAGGTTTGTTCATACGGCCCAGCTAACCAGGAACTCACTGAGACTGAATCGGAGATCTGCATACCCTGAGTGTGATCTGCATGTCCTTTGTTAACGCGTATAAAATTCAATTTGTGTCCAAATGAGAAACGAGCCCAGCTATACGGGTGGGATTTCAGTCAAATGGGATATAATTTTCCATATGATCGATTTTGACCAATAATATAGTATTGAACAGCACAGTTGGCTAACACAAACAAAAAATAAACATTAATATATCTAAACAGACACTATTAAAGTCGTTTAATTACAACAAAAAATCTTTCGAGGATGCCATGTCCATGTCGAGAAAGATCGTGACTCAAACTTTACGACAGTTACAATCATATGGAAACCTGGTTTCAGGTAGGATAAAAACAGTCGTATCAACACAGAAATAATTCATCTGGCAAACTGGGCTCGGCATATGATGAACAGGCCCTAAATCCTAATTTTCATGCCCTGAATCCTGACGTTTCGTGAAAATCCTAAAATATCACTCGTTCAGGGTGTAGTATGTTAGTCACCGGTATGGATGACGTCATAACATTGCGGCTCCAAAACATGGTGACGTCTGTCTCGAGATTACTTTGAAAACGAACAATTTATGATTGAACTGTCTAACAGTATACAACATAAATTATGACTAACAATCTCAAGCCGAACTACTGAGAAATCGTTTGGTATTAAATAAGCAGTTTTCAAACTCTCTTTTCAAACTAGGTAAAAGCTATAGTACCGGAATTTTTAGAAAAGCTGCAGTCCTTCTATTCTTCGTACGCTATTTAGAGATGTCACACATGAAGGATTGGTAGAACTATGATACAAACTTCTATACATTTTTACACATGCATGCACAGGTCTCGATTATCTCTGTGTGAGGCAATTGGTCTGGTATGAATGTCATTAAGTATGTTAAATTAACTGATCACGATCGAATCAACACGTCCTTCATAATCACAAAGATATCGGCCAAAATCAATACGATATTCCCCCAGCTGTTTGGAATAATATTCCTGTCTGCAACTGCATCCATGTACCACTGCATGATAAAGTTAATTGGCTGACTAAACCGATGTGATGTTTAACTACACTTGTTGCCAAGGTCAGCCAATGAGACATATATTGATCGACAGTCCTTAACTTGCCCCAAAATCCACAATTTTCACGGTTTTTGAAAACATCGATTTGGTCAGTTTTGTATGTTTGACTGCCCGTGTCGAAAACTACCCAATACTGTGCAACTGTTGCTATTTCATTACACATGCCTATTGCATGAGTACGGTTGTGAAATATTTTATCATAATCTTTGATCACATGTCTCAATGAAAATAGATTTGGACCATATTTACACACCGCAGTGAATTTTGTGAAATCATCTCGTATCATTTAGTGTCTGCCTGTCATGTAGACCTATCGTTATGGTATCAAGCTGTCTTGCCGGTGATTAGGCCAGAACTCTAGACTTAAGGCGATCAGACTTTAGAACACTTTCGCCTGTCTAAGAACGAAATAGATTATATGATAAAAATCAAGTTTTGATCGCAGAACAAGACTAAATATAGTCCTACTGGTTGTCAGTGTCACTATGCATGAGAAAAAATATCTGAAATTTAAAACAAGGGGAATTCACGAAGCCCAGTGATAGTGAACAAGGACACGCCAACCTTAAGCATTCGCTTGCATGTATTTATATCTCCTCCTAGTGTAGTATAATACTGTTTTAGAAGTATTTCATTAAAGTATTAAAGCAGTGAATAATATATGAAGTATTAAAAATCCTCTCGTCTTTTTCAGAGATCAAGTAATTCGTGTGCGACCCGATACGGAAAGTAAAGTCCAAGATATCATGCGAATTCACAAAGTCCCAGGATTGAAAAGGGTGAGTGAACGTACTCAAATGAATTATACAAGATATTTCTGAAACAGTTTGTAAACTTGACTCACGTTGTGAAAAAAAAAACAAAAAAGGAAGGAGTCACTTTCTTAGAGAAAAACTTGAAAGAAATTGTAATATATTTCAAAACCATTTGTAAGCTTGACTCACAATGTGAAAAGAGGAAGGAGTCATTTTCAGTCTTAGAAAAAAAACGTGAAAGAAATTAAAACTGAGAAAAATATGGGAAACATAGATGGGTAAGTCAGTATTAAGGGTAGAAGCAAGGAATGACAAAAAATAGACTAAATGAACCGTAATCGAAAGAACAAAGTCAAAGATCAGTTTTTAATAAAAAAGAACCGTATATTTAACATCCGAGCATGAATCTGTGTAAACATGAATGAAGATTTCCAATCAGTGTAATAAGAAGCTGATTCATAATGTCAATTTACAGTGCAGGAGTTAACTAGAACACAACACGTCTGTATGCAATAAGATCGCAATGTTTACTTATGGACCTTGACCAAGTCAAACTCAACTACAACAGTCAATGCATCAACGAATCATGTTGAGATCTTATGTAATCCTTGCTGGTGTTCAACTATACCTTAGGGAAGCCACAAATGCTTATATTAAATAAACCTTAGAAGGGGGCAACAGTGTTTGTTCGATGCCATGACAATAAGCCTCAGAAAGGGGCACTTTTGCCTGTCATGTATGAAAGAATGTAATTACTTTCAACCCTGAAGCAAGCCAGGCAAAGTTTCATGCTGCTTTAAAACAAAGTGAAAATTTCAGCAATTAGACACAGCCACCTAAATGTCACAACTTGGGAGAGATCTCATACATCACTGATCACAGAAAAACAGCAACTTTATAAGGAATAACTTACTAAGAGTTCCAGTTAAAAAATTACTTCAAAGGTAGAGACATTCGAGCAGTCCCAAAATATATCCCTTTAATATCATGGGGCAGAGGTCCTGGAATTCAATTAAGATTTTTAGTCATTATGTATTTATGTAGGTACAATTATCACAGTAAATATAAACTCTTTGCTATTTGTTGACCAATTTGAAATCTGTTTTGCCTTTTGGGAGAAATTTAAATATTGGGATAAAAATTTCGGCCATAACTACGCAATCTAAATTATAAAAAATCCTACACAAACCCCAGGAAATTGGGTTTTTTGTTGGAGTGATAGTTAATGAATTAATAAAACTATAATTTAATTAAATAACTTTATCTGTCGCGCACTGTTTTTTAAATCCAGAGAAATACATGCAGTATAGGAATACCAGGAGAAAAGTGTGAGAGAGGAAGAACCCAGTCTTCTCACTTGTGAAGTGAAATTATAATCAGACAACTGATAAAACTGAATGTTGTGAAACTGAAGCCGTGGTGGCAGAAATGACATCACCAGAGCGCTTTGCATTTTAACTTAGGTAGACAGGTCAAATTTTTGAATGGAGCACAAAACGATCTAACTGGAAAATTTGGATCAAATTAGAACGAGTTCTATTTTTGCTAGATTTTTGAGAAACCTGGGCCCGATCTTTCCATGAATACAGAGATATAAATTCTGGTGTGATCTTTAAATGGAAAGCGCCCATGTACTAATCATCTGTAAACCAATGTTACTGATCAATATTTAATGTTGAAAACATTCACTTACAGTTGGATTCTTGGTTGCCCACATTTCGTCCAAATCACCCGGCAGATTTCTACGCGAGGAAAAGCGAACTTCCAATCATGAAGGAATTCCTGCAAAACAGAAGTATAGACTTTGACGTTTTGGTGAAGAATGTGACGAAAGCAATTTTGAGACAGAGGACTTGGAAGAGAAGACATAGATATGACAAGGGGAAATATGAATATAAGAAATTCCATCCTTTAGACGAGGTAAGTTTAATTGTCAGAATTTAGGGCATCAAGATTCAAATTCAAGGACTTTTCAAGGAGATTCAAGGCCATGTATCAGCAAATTCAAGAACTAAATACTGAAGAAAAGGGGTTAGAAATCAGTAAAATCTGACGTCGAATTGTTCAAACTGACGCAAATTAATGAGTTTCAAACGGCTTTGTCAGATATGAACATGAAAAATCAATTCAACAAACTGTCCAATTTGAATGTCAAACAATTTGAGAAAATATCCAAAAACTACAGCAAGAAAAATTTAAGGACTTTCAAGTACTTCTTTACAAATTGAAGGACATTCAAGGCCTTTCAAGTTGTTTTGTACGAATCCTCACAGAACTATGCTTTTATCTACTTTAAATCTAGATCCATGAAGAGCTCGATAAATTGGGCAGTGAAAATCCAAACATTACTGAAGTTTTCAGTCTTGGGAAATCATACGAGAAACGTGAAATGAAGGCCATTAAGGTAACATTGCAGTAATGTTCACTGGAAAAGAGATCTACTGGGCTAAGCATTATTTACATATACCAAAGGTGATAAAAAGGTTTAAACAATAAAAACATATTTTCTTCACAGATATTTGCCAGATCGAAAAAGAGCAGAAGAAAGATTTTCTTTGTTGAATGTGGGACACACTCGAGAGAATGGCTTTCTCCAGCCACCTGTATGTGGTTAATTAAAACGGTAAGATGGATGTAGAAAACTTTTGTTTGCTTCTCAATACGATAAATAGCTATTGTCCCAATTATTTCAAAGATTTACTAATAGACCTGATATTTTCTGTTCGTCAGATCATAAAAGAGCGTAGTTCTAAAGACATCAAGAAAAGAAGAATGTGCAACAGAATTGACTGGGTCATTGTTCCTGTGATAAATGTGGATGGATATGTATACACTTGGAAAAAGGTAGGTGCAATTATCCTTACCAAACCTTCATATTCATAACTACTCCTTTATATTTATAGCTGCTCTTTATATCCCTTGCTATTCCTTCATATCCATAACTACTCTATCGTACCCACAACTGACCACTAATATTCGCAACTACCCATTAATATCCATGACTATCCCTCAATATCCATAACTACCTTAGATACTCATACCAAACCCCTCATATCCATAACTATTCTTTCCAGTATTCATAACTAACCTATTGATACCCATAGTCAACCCTATGAACCCTATCTACTTACAGGAAGGACGATTCTGGCGAAAAAATCGAAGACCGAACAACGGCAGTGAATGCTATGGTACTGATCTCAACAGAAACTGGGGCTATAAATGGGGAGGTTTGTACATCTTTTTCTAACTGAACTTTATTTATACTGGATGTGTCAGTTCTAAGCTGTTCTTTCCAGATGTCCAGTAAACGGTCATCTCTTATTTGCTCTGAGTGTTAATACGGGAAACCCAGGGAGGTGAAATTATTGTTACGCAACTGGTTATGGCCTTAAATTCTTTAAACGGCGTATTAAACGTTTTAAAATCACGATTTTCTAGGAAACGGATCAAGTAACGATCCTTGTACGTCCTCATATCGTGGAACTGGTCCGTTCTCAGAAATTGAAACAAAGAATGTTGGAAAATATTTGTACAAAAATCGCTGTCAGTTATTGGGTTATATTGGACTGCATAGTTATAGTCAATTCTGGATGACACCATGGGGATACAAGACAGACAAACCTGAGCATTACACTGAAATGGTAAGAGTGACGCGTTCAAAGAAACTCTTTCTAGTTTCAAACATAATAAGTTGCAACTCTTCTGTTACAAAAAACGAGTGTTTTCAACTCTTCTGTACGTTACAAACAATGAATGTTTATAAGTAGTTTGCATAAAAATTCAGTCATATGTATAACTGTGGTAACCATGGGTAGACATGTTTGGAAATTTAGTTGAATGCAGAGAACATGAATTTTTCATCACAATTTTCCATAGAAACGCGTTGCTGACGTTGCAGTGAAAGCAATCAAAATGTCGAAAGGAGGATCGATTTACGAAGATCCAGGACCTTCTTCAGAGATTATATGTAAGTCATTGTTCCTACTGGACAGTTCTACCAGTACTAAACTGTTCCCTTTACTGGTCCAGCGAGGGTTGTTCTTTCTTCATCCAGCTGGAAAAAACTCCGACTTCGTGGTTTTTTCTACGATTTTGGCGTAATAATTCTTCATCAAAATGCTGACGCCATAGTTCTAGCCAGTGTGGTTATGAGAGGCATTCACCCCTAAAATATTCAAAATGGCGGACATCCAGGGTGAATGCCTTTTGCATTTTGATCAGTGACGAATCATTGCAAATCATGGCGTGGCAGCGGTTACGCCTTTTTGGCTAAGTCGACCTTCTGTGTGTCTTTATTCTGTGACCATAGTGTGCCATCAGCACCTTCAAAATTGCTAATGAAGCATTTCTCAACATCATTACATTTTCTCCCACAGACAGAAACACAGGCAGTGCAAAGGACTGGACTTATGCTGTACTCAACGTGCAATATTCCTACGGAGTGGAATTACCACCGCACTTCAATGACACGCACGGATTCCTCATCCCCCCCGAAAAAATCAAACCCACAGGACAAGAAATTGCAGCAGCCATCAAAGGAATCTCCACTGTTGTTCATTTGTATGAAGGACGAAAGTCGTTGAAAAGAGTACATGACCATGAATATGACTGAAATATTTCCGCGAAACTATTAAATTCCTAGAATAGATACAGTGGCTGCCAGAAATAGTGTTCACTTGATACAAGTGTAAAGTGAAAATAGTAAAAGGCATATTAGTGTTTAATAGTGGATGATATAGAATGCATTTTCACTCGGAATAGAAAGTTGTCAATATAAATGGTTGGAAGAAAAGAAAAATTTCTTCGAGAGTTTGAAATAGACGAAATAGAAGTATTCTTCAATTGCTTAAAATGTAGAAACAAACGTCCTGCAATTTGAAATGTGGTCGCTAATGTAAAAATTAAATATGAATGAAATTTGATAAAATATGTTTGTGTGAATATAAATGTGATAACGTTTGTTATATATAATCTATTAAAAGTCTTTACGTGTATTTATATAAGACAATAAAGTACAACTTTTTACTTTGCACTTCATTCTAAGTTTTCTAATTCAACCTTACTGGGGTGTTGCATGAGAGGTGCTTCCAGGTTGACTCTATAGGAAGTGTAGTAACAATGGAAGAATAGGGGGATGAAACTCAGTGTAAATAAGGTTAGTTTAGGTTTCCTCAGTTTTAGTAACACTGAGTCAATAAGAAATGGTCCGTAGCAAGTGCCCTAAAGAGAGGCATTCACCCCCTCCCCCCTGAACAATAAATTTCAATATGTTTTCAGGGGGTGGCGTCCTCTCTTTAGGACTGTAAAAATCTCTTACGCTATTAAATTAACCTGAAGTGAGACCTCTGTATGTAAGTACTCTGTGGTCAAATTGTCCTTGCATTTTTCAGGTAGTTGTATCCATATCAATCCGCAGCTATCCATAGGGGTCCTGTATAGCCCATAGTTACACCAAGGAGTGAGTAATCCGATAGACTCTATAGAGTGGGTTATTAATAATTCCAAAAATTTACAAACAGCCACGCACAAAATAATCTTCACCCACTCAGCTCGGCAATGACAGACAAGGCACAAACCTATCATCACGCGGTCGAAGTGTAATTCTCACTCCTCCAAATGTCCCCACAAACTATATTTCATTTCAAGTCTAGCTGCGGTTACACATTTCAATTTAAGGATCATTTTACATTCTTCACTACAGCGGGTGACTGAAGATGCTTTGCGTCAAAACTTGAGAGGAAAGCAAAGCACTCGGGATAATTGCCGAATAAAGGAATGAAAGACGTGACCTATTCTGCTTTCAGTACATCAATCAATATTCAAATGCGAAACATCTATAGAATGTATTTACAAGTGTAGCTAAATCGGTAGTTCTATTTAAAGCTCTGATATCTCGGTGCTAAAATATCATTCAGGAGGAACAGTGTCTGTGTTCGTATGGAAACGTATAGTTCAAGAGAAGCGTTAGATTCGGTGGAAAAAGACACAATAGAGAAAGATAAAAAGATAATAAATGAAAGTCCAAAGAAAAAGTCGATCGTTCTTCTCAGTATCTTCCTTTGTGTGGTCGGAGCCGGAGCTCTGACGGCGACCACTGCGTTTCTCCTAACAAAACACGATACAAGCAGTTCACAATGCGAGCAAGCCAAAAATCAACAGAACCAAAAGGCACGGAAACTTTACGAAAAGATAAAACGCAAATACAATGATCTTCATCCGGACCCACTACTGGAAAATGGCGACGGAGGTTTGACAATACAACCATCATACTTAAACTTCACTCCTTCTTTATATAAAGCACGTACTCAAACAGCTAAAGATTTGCTTAAGGAGTTAGAAACGTTAGAAAAAGGTTTAACATTGTCTAAAGAGGAAAACATGACGTTTGAGTTATTCAGACGGTTTTTGATGAACACGTTTGGGGCACCTTACGAGAACAATTACGAAATCGGAGATTGGTTATTAGGCCCAAATATATATTGTTGGCAAGAAAGTTGTGTTTTGCTGTCTTCATTAAATATTGCCTTGAAAGCAATCAAACCAAAAGCAGTTACAGATATCGAGCTGATGGTTGATTTCATTAAGAAATGCAGTGAAGGATATAAACAGAGGATTGAGAATCTAAAGAATGGTATTGCAGCTGGAATTGTGTTGCCCGATGTCGCATGTCGCGCTGGATTGCAGAATTTTAAAAGAGTTCATGTTCATGTTGCCAAAAATGGAGCACAAGGTGAGTTATGAGGAATGAAATAATTATCTTGTTATTCAATTAGAAGCTGCTAATTTTGGTGCTGAAACACAACATAGATTAATCTAAAGATTGTTGCTCGTATGTAAACAACAAAATCACTTTGACATATGGCGACTGTTCATATTTTTGAAAAATTGTCTATGACTATGATGCCTAGATAGGCAGGTTTAATTGAGTTATCATACAACAGACGATGTTCAACCTGGAGTTTCGCTGAGTGACCCATTAATTTAATCTCCTAGTTCTCTACTCTAGCCCAATATAATTTGAAACACGTATCATTAAAATATGCGCAAGGGTATACTTTTATCTGTGTATAGGCATATAAGGGCGCACAGGTAATCCATTTTTCTTGAGGCAAGTTTGGACGTTATATAGCTATGTTATAATACCCTATAATTTATTGAAAAGTAATATACTGAACCGAATTACTTTTTAATAGGAACCTTGCAGTGTCTGTGGTCAGATATGACCATTTCCTTTACTTCCAACTGGGACGTTTTCAGCACGCGTGTTATATTTTATGACTTAAACTTATCCTCTCTTCATGCATATCTTAGTGTATAAAAAACGCGTTGACGGTAAACTTCAGACGCAAAAATCGCTTATACCCTCTCTCTCTCTCCCGGATAATTCTTAAATCAGTCCAGCCGTTGAATGAACACATGGAATTTTACTTCAAGCATGATTTTGTAAAATTAAGCTATAAGTCTACGTGCATGTTTTTACCCTGACTAGAATCTCCCTGCCGCCGATGAAAATCATCAGTGTTGCTAATTAGCCCTTAATTGCATTATTCGCATGTCAGAAAGTTTGGAAACGCTTTGGACAGATTATTGTTTGAGATCAACCGCAGCATACAGCGATAATACCAGGGCTGTTTGCATGCTTGCATGTGCGTTTCACGTGTCATGTTTTCTACAGCCTTGTGTCATGGTCAATTTGTTCTCTAAATCTTTCTCACACCCACTTTTAAACCAATTTCCAGTCCCAAATGTGAAAAACCTGAGCAGGTATTTTATCTATGTGTTACTGTCTTTCAAACATAACCATACATAACATAACATAACGGGACAAGCCTGTCGTGTGAGTATATCAATAAAATCATTGACTCGAGGTTTCCCCGTTCCTGGATCTGTCATTATCAGTCCCAATAACCCTTTTTCCCAGTCCAAAAATACGAAATCCCTCAATTAGTACTGAAAATATCGTTTCACAAAATTTACTTACTGTCAGTGAAGGAATAAACAGCAGTCCATGTCCACAGCGCAGTCAGCTCAAAGGTGAAAGGTTCAGACATTTTGACGCAAGTTGTGGAACGAGAACTCAACAGTTCAATGGCCCCGATGATATCCTCTCTGTCAATTGACGTCGCATTTCTAGAAATAGAAATAGTGTTAGCGCATGATGAGACACACAAACAAGACTGTTTAGGATTTAATTTACCGGGGGGAAAGGGGAAGTAAAACGGCGCCGACGGCTACCTTTTATCTTGTTCATTGAGTCTCCCGCTCATTTATGAGCGGATTTAAAACATGCAGCTTTCGAAACCTGTTATATAATAACTACAGTGAAACACGCAATTTGAGTGGTCAGTAGCCGTGCAGGATCAGGCTATCCTGCACGAGGAATTAAAATGCCTATGCGGGATTTTAGCGGGATTCTCAAAATGTCATTGTTTCACTGTAGTTACTTTATAAAACAATTACCAAATGGTTTTCCAAGCACGATAGCGTGATCCATACACTTGGGATGTTACTCGACGTTCGGAAAGGGTAAAAATACACTCGCCTGCGGCTCGAGTATTTTTACCCTTTCCGAAAGTCTCGCGACATCCCTCGTGCATGGATCACGCAATCCTGCACGGAAAACCATTCGGTATTCCTTTACTCTTTCCTTCTAGGTATATTTCAAGAAAGCGGTATTGACGGATTGTTAGATTCAAGTATTTTAGAAAGCATTACGGAAGAGGAAAAGTTAAAATGGAATAACAAGTATAATGTTTCAATCACGCAATATCTCAGGGATTGTATGGTGAACTATGTTGGAAAGTCATTGAGTGATTTTCTAAGGTTGGTCGAACTAAATGTTTCAATGAATTTTGCAACCTAAAAATCAACCAAGTAAAACGCCTAACGCCAGACGACTTTACTCGTCAAGAGGAGAGCACAATGGGTTTATGGGTTAATGTCTTTGCTTCAGTAGCTTAAATTTTAAGCCTTATTTGAACCAGTGTATAATCTTGGCCTTAGGTATTTAGAAGACGATTATTCCACTCATTGTCCTCCTAGTGACATCTCTAGTGGTTTTGCTTCCCTTCCACTGCCTTACGTCTATACCAATGGTGTCCCAGACCTGAGCAAACCCACCACAGGACGTCTGCCTGGTGGGGAGAAATTTAATGGTAGTACTGCATACCTCATACTACTCTCACATTTCACCACGTATGATATCACTCCTCAAAAGGTCGATAAACTTGCAGACGAGAAATTGAAAGAGCTTTTTCCAAAGGTATGGTAAGTTGTGGTATATTGTGGTATATGGTAAGAATTGTGTAGTATGGTATGATATGGTGTGCTATTATAGTGTATAATATGGTATATTGGTATGGTGTGGTATGGTATGGTATGGTATGGTGTGGAATGGAATGGTGTGATATGGTATGGTATGGTATGGTATGGTATGGTATGGTGTGGTATGGTATGGTATGGTATGGTATGGTGTGGTATGGTATGGTATGGTGTGGTATGGTGTGGTATGGTATGGTATGGTGTGGTATGGTATGGTATGGTATGGTATGGTATGGTATGGTATGGTGTGGTATGGTATGGTGTGGAATGGTATGAAATGGGATGGTAGTTATATTATCATCAATATCTATTGAACAGGTCGTAGAGATCGCAATAGCCAGGACGAAAGACAAAAATGAATCCAAAGCTATCAAGAAATTTCGCTCTCAACTTGAAAGTGATGATTTTTTCTACACAGTTGAAAATGAGAATTACTATTCTGAACTATATATGAAATGTTACGACGAGAAAACAGCAAAGATATTTTGTCCTCAAAGATGGAAGGCCATGACTCGCTGGTTGCAATCTGCAGAAGCGGTAGGTACAAACCTAAGGTGCTAATAACCGGTGCTATAAACATTACCGCGTGAAGTAGATGTGCAAAAATGTGCAAATAGGTTGCAGCGTTAGGGTCGTGTTTTAATAACTTTAACTTTAAATAGGGACTGTGTTCTAATATCTTAAATTTTGTAAATTTTGAGGGCCACAAGTTTATCAGTTTCTTACTGTCACGTGTTTACCCTCAGTAAATAAAGCCTTTCACTTCACTTCACTAGATGAACCAGCAGTACTAGGACTGTTCGTAAGCGTTACAGGTAGCAGATGGGATCAGAAATGTTGACATTTTTTACTTGCAAGAGCAAGAAAGTTTCAGCACAAGAAAGTTGCACTCAATTGTCAGAGCAGGCGCCTTTCACCTCTGAGATCGTGGGTTTGATTCTCGCTACGGACTCATGCATGACACTTATGTCGGAAAAGAGTCAGTCAACGCTCTACTTCGAGTCGTGGGTTTTCTTCGGGTACTCGGGTTTCCTCCCACAGGGAATGTTAACAGGGTGGGTTGGGATTATCCCCCTAACTCATCCTTCCACCGTAGCTATGCTCCGTGATCAGACATGAGTCATAAGGTGGCTGCCAAAGGCGCACTTAGAAATCCTTCAACTTCGTCAGGTTGAGCTGCGTCCTTCGTAATTCAGCTGTATGTAAGGATGATTAGCACACCCCACTTATTTACTTACTTAATTTCACATATCTCTATAAAAGGCTGGTTTACACTATCAAAGTTTCTGTGATCACAGTAGGAATTTTGCATTGGTAAATTCTAACGCCCGTATTCTAAAAGCTCACTCACACTCAATGAGTGGAGGTTAAATCTGAGCTTCTCCCGAGTCCCATGGCTGTTTTTGAATAGCTAGAGGGCCAGTGTCATACCTTACTATGTGATTACTCACTCTACAGCTATTTAAAAACAGCATTGACACTCAAGAGAAGCTCATATTGAACCTACACTCATTGAGCGTGAATGTCAGTGAGCTTTTAGAATACGGGCGTAAGTTTTGAAGGATTTGTAAGAAATGTTTGAGAGAACTCGTGACCAAGTGTAAAAAACTCCCGTATGTAAAATTCCTACTGTGATCACAGAAACTTTGATAGTGTAAACCAGCCCTAGCATATAATTTTACCTCTCTTTTAATTCTATTATTTAGAACGTAAATCGACTACAGAAAAAGGTTCAGTTGGCATTCTACGTGAAAGGAGACAAACGAATCCTGCCCGTGTGTAAAGTAAATGTTGGATTTGACTTTAGTCCCGCCAACCCTTATCACAGTTATAGCGAAGGCAACGTTAATTGTAGGCAGCTGGCACAGATACATATACCGTTCTTTCTAGAGAGACCTGGACCCAAGTATGAAGAGATTACAGTCATGGCACATGAATCTTATCCAGGGCATCATCTTGAAGTGAGTTGAACAAAATACTTAGGGACGCCGGAACGATGTGAAGGCAGGGGGGGGGGCAGATTTTCGTGAAAGGGCACTTTTGAATTGACATATACTAAGAGATGTTTACAAAACATCGGGAGTTGAACTTCGCCTAATCATGTTTTCTATTTATTGGATGATAGGGGTGTGAGGGGTTCTCCGCCAGACGATTGTGCTATTCTTGAAGCTCCATGACTGCATTTCTTGCATTTTCTGAAGCAAATTCGTAAAAGAATTGCACTAACATTTCTGACAATTCGCTATTTCGACAAGGCAATCCTTTAAATTGAATGGACACCTTTGCCCCCCCCCCTTGCCCCTCCTGGTAAAGAGCAACAGGGGCGGCTGCCCCTCCTGCCCCCAGTTCCGGCGTCCCTGAAAATACTTTTACAGTGCAAGAGTATATCGTATATTCACAAAAGCATTTTCAAATAAGATTCTAGACGGCAAGCACACGATAAATTCAATTAACCCCGACCTCTTCCTCAGCAAAACTGCAAAAGTCTTTTATCTAAAGGTCTCTCCAACACAGAGAGAGTGTTTATAGGTATTTTAACCACAGAAAGACAACATACATCACAATGTCTCCATAAATTCCTGAAATTTTGCTGGAAAAATTTGGTTAAATTATGGTTTAGGTCAAAGCCCAAAGGAAATTCTGTCCCCAGTTCCGCTCTTTATATTCACAGTTTCACTGCAAGGTAAGTCCATGGCCAGGGGAGAATTGTTGACAGAATTACACAAAATCTTTATCAGATACATGCTAGAAAACTAGGTTTATCTAACTGGAAAAATAATCCAATATCCTCTGATTTTTAAATATCTTTGTGCTTGTTTGCAGGTCCAAGGAGTGAAAGAACACTTTCCGACTAACTGTGATAAGTTACGAGAGTGGGTATTAGGGAAGAATTATTTTGCAGCATTCAGCGAAGGATGGGCTACGTATATCGAAAAAGATGTCGTTGACCTCGATATGAAACTTTACAGTGAGAATGATATCCAGATATATGGCATGCTCAAGCATCAGGTACTGACTGCAATATATATGAGTGAAGTAACTGGACTGTATTTTATGATTACGAATAACGTACAATTACATATAATACGATAAACCATGATAAACCTTTTAGAGAAGATGAGAATTATACAGTTGACTATATGGGCTCTTGGTTAGTGACACAATGGTTATAGTACTCTGCCATCTATGGCTAAATTCCTAAAAGATGAAGTTTTCTTTTATTTCATCTCTGTTGAATGTGAAAATGTGTTTCGAGTTTGAATCTACCAAACACAGCAGGGTCCTGGATCAATAAGGATGATCCTTGCTGGACCTCGAGGGAGAACAGTTTAGAACTGCTATATTCAGTATAAATAAAGTTAGTTTAGTTTCCCTCCTGTAGTAACACTGGAAGTTTTCTACTAGACCTCTAGAGAGAACAGTTTAGAACTGATAGAGCTATCCTCGTTCAGTACTAGTTATAACAGCAGGGAGCCAAACACGCCTTTTAGCCAAGAGATAGAAAGAACTAACATAACTGACATATAAACAACATTCAATTAACAGATTCTCGCTGCACTACGAGCAAAGGTCGATGTTGGTGTACACTATCTGGGCATGAAACGCCGGGAGGCAGTCTCCTTATACGAGAAATATGCCCTGGATATAAGTGACGGTATCCAGAAAGAAATCACGCGGTTACAAAGTGGTCCTGGGCAAGGCTCTGCCTATATGGTTGGAGAGACAAAATTTTCTGAGTATAGAATGAAAACTCAGGCCAAACTTGGAAAGAAATTTGACATACGTGATTTTCATTATGAAATATTGAGAAATGGGGAACTGCCAATGCTTTATTTAGGAAAACAGATTGACGAGTATATAGAGAAAAAGTTGAATGAGGATTAAACGGGAGTTCTAAACATGACTGGGATTGGCAACAAGCTCCCAGTGTATGAAGTAGTTTGGTGGATCTGAAAGTCTCTAGCCCAGAGCTTTAACAATGTCTGTTTTCCTCAATAAATATCCACACTTGAAAATTATCTTAAGTTTATTACGATGCATCCAATTCTGTCTGTGCCTCCTCACATTTAAGATGAGTTAATTAATGATTTACAGTAGAATTACATGCCTTTAAAAAATAACAACTATACTTGCTCGTAGCTATTGACACCAGACAAACGATTATCACCAAATATATATATATATGTTAAAATATTTCCACATAATATGCAATATACCTTTCGTAAAATAGCTATTTCTAATATTATGGAGTTTTCTAATGGACCTTTAACCTTGTAACTAAAATTTTGATCTAGACAAAAATTTCATCACAGCTTGAAAGAGCATCACAAAATTAGTAATATTCCAAAGTTTCGTTACGAAATGTTGTAACATGCGGATAATATAGCCCTGCGAAGTTTGCAATTTTCAGTCATTTTAGATTACAAACGGGAAATTGAGACCCAAATCGGGTGTTTGGGTTTCCCGTTTGTAATCTAAAATGACTGAAAATTGCAAACTTCGCAAGGCTATATTATCCGCATTTTACAACATTTCGCAACGAAACTTCGGAATATTACTAATTTTGTGATGCTCTTTCAAGCTGTGATGAAATTTTTGTCTAGACTTGTCTAGATCAAAATTTTAGTTATAATGTTAAAGGTCCATTCACTTGATATATTTTCTTCTATTTCTTAATGAGCCGGTTTCCTTTCTTAATAATCTGTAGGTATGGTAAAATATATGTATCAAAATATCACTATACTTCTACTTGGTAGATTTAACTGGAGAAAAACTGGAGTTCTTGAAGTCTGGAAATTACGAAAATCTAGAAATGCATTGTTTCTCATATATTAGAGAAGTAATTATATACGATAACGCACAAAAGTTTACTAAAAATAGTAATTTCCATCTTTATCTTACCCATGTGTACGTTAGAAACGCACGTGCACACAAAATAATTTAGTTTAAAAAAGTTTAATAACTCGAAATATCGTTACTGCCTGGGATTACTAAGAGTGCCACGCCCACTTTGGTGCAGGCTGATCTCTATTGAAATCTTTCAATTTTAGCACATTGCAAACTCATCCTGTTAATTTGATACAAAACGTAAATTATCCAAGCCACGTGCCTTGCAATGTGTGTTCTACAGCTCATAAATAGTCTCTGTAGCTGCCACGAGCTGCCTGACTAACCGAAAGTAATTAGTTGTTAATATTTTCACACGAGTGAGCACAAGAAATCAAAGACCTGAATGCAAAACACAGCAATACAAAAGAGATAGCAAACACAATTCCTAAGACCAAAATGACCCGACCATGTATATTTTCTTAACAAATTATATTCCGCGGTCGTGTACTATACGATAGCTACGATGCACGATTGAAATAATAACACAATTCCCTTTGTAAAGTGGGTCGTTAGCTTGGAAAGCAAGTGAACCTATAGACTTTCGTCCAAGTCTTTAAGACTGGGTTATTGAGGCATTAAATCCAAACAACTAAACATGTGGAACAGTAGCTTTGTAGAAATGTATTTGTTTGTCTATATCCCACAGAGAGCTGTGGTTCTAGGCGTGTCAAACAAGGAGTAATTAGGTTTTATCTACGTAGATAAGCAGGATAGCCTTGTTTATTCCACTTTTGCCCCAATGGCCTCGTTTTCATGTTTGCCTATTTTAACATTACAAGCGTATACATGAAGGTTGTATTCCCATGTTTTGTGCACGTGAATATGTTTCTCTTTGACCTTGAGCCCAATCACAAACCTATCCTTAATTCTCTTGTGCAGGAGTGAGGAAATAACAACACGAGAACGAGGCCATTGGGGCATTACAGCCCATTAAGGTGATATAAAGATTACAGTCCCCTGCAAAGTTGAAATAAACTATCAGTATGAAAATAACTCCATGGGTCTGAGTGAGAGAAATAGATTTGATAAATGAAAACAATTGGATAAATAGCAACAATCGAGTGGTTAATGTGCAACACGCGACGAAAGAAAAGTTGTTAATCATTTCTTATTGAGGAATGCAGACAATCTCCTAGCTCGCTCTGTCTCTCAGCAGCTGGGGAACTTCCATGTAATCAAGCTAACAATAAGCAATAACGATGTCGCGAGCCACGAATCAATTTCTTAAATAGAGTAATAAGAGAAGACTAGAACGCCACGCGACCCTATTCAATATAGAACACTGGGGGGTAATACTCAATCATAACCAAGGTTTGCCGAAAGTATTATGGTCTCTATACAACTCTTTATTTATATCATCCTCACCCGTGTGTTTGTTTGTATTACTCCTTATCTTATGGATATGAGGATTTAGATTTATTAACACAACACAATGGAAACCGTCCAAGTTTATTCATAGCTCGTGCAGATTGTTCAACAAAATATCTATGTATGAGGTTGCCAACATATCTATAAATGAGATTCGACGACATTTCCTGCAGCAATACAACCTTCACCAATGTAAAATAAATTCTTCATTCTCTTCACTTAATCATTAAGATATTTTTACTTATATAATGCATGGCAAGACAAAGCTATTATGACTCTATAGTTGCAAAATAGTTACGACCTTCTGACAATTTTTAGAACTCGTTTAAAGTAGGCTATCACTATAGCTATTAGTTTGTTCTTTATTAATGTATTCTTGTGATTTTTATGTATGTATCTATATTTTCCAAAACTGGTATTTATGTTGATTAAATATTATTATTAATGTCAATGTATCATTCTCTTTTCTCTTGCAACTGAATACATACTCTCTGATGAAATATAACTCGACCATTACACATAGGAATGACAAATTCAAGTTTCGTCAACATAGAATTAGGGCGTAAATTTATGTAGAATAATATAACTAACGAGAATGAATGCAAAAATAGATAAAAGAAACCTTTTATCTTTCAATTATTTTCAGAAATATAAAAGGAAACTATACAATTGATATATTCCTCTTATCTCTCTTGGCCAGACGTTTAAGATCTAACGATAAAAATTAAGCTAGTCATGAAAATGAACTATTGTGAAACAATCAGTACTCTATTCAGACATAAAACATGAATATTTAAGCAAGGTCAGACACTTAACTGCATATTTTACTATTTCGTTATTCTCCTAAGTTTGCTAAAATTCCTAATTTCTTTCAATGCACAAAGGTTTTCTAAAGAACTACCGACGTCAAGAGATGTTTTCTTATTTTCTTTCCAAACAAAGGTTTAAGATTTTCTTTCTTTTAAATTCTCTTCCTCATGCTCTCAAGAGAACTGATTGAAGATAACTTTTTAAATAGTTGAGGATCGGCCAGTAACTTCCAGATGAAAGGCTGGCAATGTGAAGGCTTCTTTGCTTCCTTTTTACCTTTCCCAGGTAGTTCGACCAAAATTTCAACATACAATTTATCTACCTGGACACACTCGTTTGATATATCATTACATATTTCCTAGTGTTTGTATGTTTGTAGTGAACAGTCTGAATAGCTCTGGTAAACTTAATGCTGGTTTACGCTATCAAAGTTTCTGTGATCACAGTAGGAATCTTGCATAGGTAAATTCTAAGTTTTGAAAGAACTGTTTGAGGGAACTTACTGGGTGTTATAAAGGATGGTTTACACTATCAAAGTTTCTGTGATCACAGTAGGAATTTTGCAAAGGTAAATTCTAAGTTTTGAAAGATTTGTAAGAAATGTTTGAGGAAACTTACTGAGTGTTATAAAGGATGGTTTACACTATCAAAGTTTCTGTGATCACAGTAGGAATTTTGCATTGGCAAATTCTAAGTTTTGACGGATTTGTAAGAAATGTTTGAGGAAACTGACTTAATATTAAACACAGAATCAGTTTCCTCAAACATTTCTTACAAATCCTTCAAAACTTATAATTTATCCATGCAAAATTCCTACTGTGATCACAGAAACTTTGATAGCGTAAAACAGACTTCTAAAATCAGTTCTTTAACTTCTTCCCAAAAAAACAGGGTTACAAAAAAGATGGATTTGGGTAAGTGGTGTTGTTCGACAGGTGAACATGCTTATTGAGAAATATTTGTGATAAAACGAGGCATTCATTAAAGATTAATTAATTTAAGCCGTGAAGATAAGATTTCATAATTGGAGTGAACAAGGGATTATGATTGCATTAGACAAAACCATGTGCTTAAGTTTTTTTTCCAACATTGAAAAAATCTGTTCCTTTTACTGCTAAACTGGTGATATTCTACGTTAGATATCGTTCGTGCAGACGCTTCCCAATTTTTTAACATTTCTTCATTTCTGGAATATTTTCAATCAAAGTGCGGCAATATTTTCCATGCAGTAACTTTCTATTGAAACACTTTTACGAGAGTAATCTATCTTAATATAAAATGTTCACAAAAAAACTCCATCAATAAGAAAAATTAACTAAGTAAAAGTCCGAAACATCTGCAGAGAGAATAGATTACAGAGACCAACGGAATGTTTGCACAAGTAATTTTCAAAACGTCAACTAAATTAAAAAAATATTGATGAATGTCATTTGAACTTCGCAAAACCTCTTGAACAGTACGATTTGGACAGTGCACAAATTCAGTCACACAAGCTAAGAAGAGTGTTTCTACAATGTATTCATTGTTGTGTAATGGTTTTCCAAACATGCATGGGGGGGGGGGGATCGGCAGCGTTCTATGACGAACTGTAGCTACGATCAACACAAGCCATGGCAACATATAGTTGTTCTTCTACTTAGTACGTGAAATTGTGAAAATTGTTCGCTCAGTTCTTTTGGTAATCGTGCTGGATTCAATTAGTTAAAGATTTCTTCAAAACGTCTTATTTCTAAAGGTCTGTTTACACCATAGATATCTTATATACACTAGATAGCGCATCTCTTTTAGTAAAATTGAAGCCAAGAATATTCCAGCGGTTACCCCCATTTGAATAGATGGCGGCCATGTTGGAGTTTCCCACTCGCTAATAAACGCTTAAAAAACAACAATAACTTTCATCATTTGAATAGTTTGAAAATGTATTTGGAATAGGTTTAACTTAATGTTTGAGTTTCCTGTTTAAGAAATAGAAAACATACGAGTCTTCTCATTTCATGGGAATATCCTGATTGTGCAATCACGGCTTCAATTTTTGAATTGCAGAATAATTAGATGCACTATCTAGTGTATATAAGATATCTATGGTTTACACTTGCAATTTTTGCTGCGATTTCTACCTTCTTCTGATGGATGTGAACGAGTAGATGAGTTATGAATGTTCTGAATATTTGTACTCTTATCTCAATATTCATAACTCGTGCACATCCATCAGCAGAAGAAAATCGCTTAGTAAAGTCACAGTTAAAATTGCAAGTGTCGACCAGCCTCGAGTCTTCCACCGGCTGTGGAACTCCGGAATATAAGTCAAATTAAAACTTTTAAAACTAAACTAAAGAAACATTTATCTACATAGTACACTATACTGAACTGATAGGATGCGCTAGAACAATATACTAAATAACCTTTCATATATTCACTTTTGTTAGTTTCATTTTTTAATATTTTTTATCAGGGCTCCACTGAAAATCACTTTTGTGAGTGGACCCCTAACTAAATATTGTAATTATTATTATTAGCCTTAAAACATATCAAGAGAAAATAGAAAACAAGTATAATCCTCACAGAAGAACTACAAAATGAAGCAGGGCTATTGAGAGATGAACAAGAGACTATAATTTCAAACACAATTCCTTTAGATCACTGTATTGTCTTAAAAACACTTACTCGAGCCTTAAGTGTCAATAATTAACCAATTATTCAAGTTCTGTCACTAGCATTAAATAAGTTATTATCCTTAACTATTTCGAGCTTCTGTTCTCCTTTTTAAACAATATATCAACATGTCTGCACTAAATATTTAAATGCTTAATCATAGTCTTTTTAAATAAATCCCTCTTAGACTGACTGGCGTCTTCAGCTAGAGTCGAGAGAATGCCGAAGTAAAATGAGTAGAGTTGATGATATAGTAGACAAGCGCGGAGAGTTTGTATGAGCGCTTTCGTAATTCTCATGCTTAAATCAAACGAGAAGAAAACAGTGTATCAGAGTTGATGACGGCGTCATCAACTCTGTTCGTTCTTCTCGTTTGACCAAGGCTTTGTGGCATAATCTACGGAAGTCCATGATGAATTGGTGTAATAGGACCTAATATATATTCCTTAATTGATAAATATTTGCTGAATACGTTTTGTTTGTTTGCTAAGATATATTTTCACCTTGTCGTTAGATGTCAATACTAATAATCAAATTCGGCCTAATACTGAGGATCAAATCTGAAATTTTGCAGAAAACACTAGTGACTGAAGTCTAAAAATAGGCACACACGTACGTACATTTTTCAACACGATTATATGTACTTGAAGAAATAATTGTTTCTTTTTGTTATGCACTCGGCAAGGTTATGTCACAGAATAAAGACACACACAAGGTCACTGACAAGGTCGATTCAGCTAAAAAAAAAGCGTAACCGCCGCCACGCCATCATTCGTCATCAAATGCTGACTCCAAGCCAGTGCGCTTATGAAAGGCATTCACCCTCTGGAGTACCCATGCCTCTCATAATGGCGTCAGCATTTTAATGACGAATTATGGTTACACCAAAATCATAGGAAAACCCAAGAAGTCGAGTCTATTCTGTGGTTATGTCTTTATAGCGCGTCAAGTGGAGAACTGCTTATATTCATGGAAAGATTTTCTTGGCGTCTCACTCAATAGACCTTTCCCCTTTTAAGTGAAATTTGATCTAGACAAGTCTGGACAAAAAATTCATCACAGATTGAAAGAGCATCGCAAAATTAGTAATATTTCGAAGTTTCGTTGCGAAATGTTGTAAAATGCGGATAATATAGCCATGTGAAGTTTGCCGTTTTTCAGTCATTTTGTATTACAAACGGGAAATTGATGATCAGATGATCAAACTGATGATCAATTTCCATTTATAATACAAAATGACTGAAAAACGGCAAACTTCGCAGGGCTATATTATCCGCATTTTACAACATTTCGCAACGAAACTTCGGAATATTACTAATTTCGTGATGCTCTTTCAAGCTGTGATGAAATTGTTGTCCAGACTTGTCTAGATCAAAATTTCACTTAAAAGGGGAAAGGTCTATTGAATAATAGTTGAAGCTCGAGTTGAAGAGTCTTGTAGATGGAAATTACCGAGTGGACGACCTGTAGTTGCATTTTTTGCAGCTGTTTCTGGTTAGGTCAAATTTTCTATTAATTTAATAATTTGTATTACGCGCGGGAAAATACACCACATTTGGGCCGAAAGTGGTGCATCAGTTTCCGTGCGTAAAGGCGGTTTTCAAGTCCTCGCACGAAGCTCCTCGCAGCTCGCTGCGAGTGCTTGCATCTAATTAAAATGAATTGTTTAGCATTGTGATTGGATAAAAGTGCTCATGCATCACTCACAGCGAGCTGCGAGGAGCTTCGTGCGAGGACTGGAAATCCGCCTTAATACAAATTAATACAAAATTTGCAAATTTCGCAGGGCTATATTTTCCTCATTTTACAACATTTCGCAACCAAACTTTGCAATTTTACTAATTTTAACATGCTCTTTCTAGCTGTGGTGATGGATTTTGTCCTTCTTGCCTAGATCAAAATTTAGTCTATAGCTGGATCTATCGGTGTTTGCAATGTTTCAGAGTGAACAATGGACGTTATGTCGACCACTTGAGACTACTGAGATAGCGAAGGTCGCCGGACGCTAAGCCGGTCTCAAAGTGGTTCGGTGGCTAATAGATGGGACTTTGTAATGAAAGTAAATGTCATGAAAGCGACCATCTAACAAGCTAAAATGCTTGCGGTAAGACAGTCGCTAACCACAAGATATTTCAACTTTTTTTGTCTGATATGCTTACCACAACTATGCGTGAATGGAACATACAAATTATAAAGATTTTTCTTGCTATATTTTTCTTGCAAGGAAGCAGTTGTTTTGAACGTTAACGATCACAAAGTCCTGGGGTTTCACTAAATACTATCGACTCATGGTGGTCACCAGCAGTTAGCAGAATGAGAAAATCATGTTAATTCTTCGAAAAACATTGAGTCTTTGAGAAAACTCTCAACATTTTTGAAGTAAATCTTCATTTGCTGTCCAGCTCTGCTTACTGGAAGCCACAAGGCTTCGTCTAAGGACTTAGACATGAATTCGAAGTTATGTAAAACGTTGCACATGTATTAATTCGTAAGAGTCTTTAGGCATTCATGCTTAATAAGTACAAAGATGGCGGCAGGTGATGTTGAGCCGCAGGGGGTGATTTAAGTCCAGTGTGTGCTAAGTGTCTATCTGGACATCATACTGCGGAGCGCGTGCTGCCTTTCAAAATATCACTCAAACTAAATAACATCACTCATTAACTGTTCATATTCAATGTATCGTTTTCTATAAATCCACTAATACTCTTATCCTCCTGAAAATAGCTTAAGGGTCTCCTGACTCACGCCATGTTGTCGCAAAACGTTGGTAAGGAACAGTAAACTATAACGGTTATTAAACACGGAGCCATATAACGATGTATATCTTTCTTTTTATACATTCATATACGCAAACCCCTTAATCCTTTTAGTATCCTGCAAAAAAAACAGCCCTAGGACTTTGATTCTTCTCATAGTATAACAGTTTTTAAAGCAACAAACAAGAGTTGTAAACAACATGTTTATATAACATTGTGCACTCCTTCTGTGACGAACACGTGCACTAACAACAAACAAACCACTTTGGAAGAAAATTGTTTTTGAGGAAATATTTCCTGAATATGAATTGAATTAATACGATAGTTTTTGCGTTGAAAAACATAAATCATTAGCATTTACCCATACATTGTTACCTCAACATATTTCTGGGTTATGTATATAAATTTAGTTGGCAATTTCAAACACTGGTATTCCTCCAAAATATAACTGTAAAGATGCAGTCAAAACAAGGAAAATGTTGTCATTGGACATTGAGTTAGCGAATATCATTGTCAGCGTGTTTGTAGTGTTATATATATGAATAGTGCTATACTTTTGTTGCCTAACAGTTTTCAGACATACTGAGTTGTATTTCATAAGTGTGCACTTGTTCTCTTCTTGTCTTGATACGGTTCATATATTGTCTACTTTCAAGTACTTCTCAGTCAAAGTCTTCCACGTACAATAAAGTGATGAATAATACTTCCGAATATAAGTTGATCAGTCCAGACGTTCTCAGGATGTTTATACAAGAAACAGGATACAGCTCATTTCAATACGAAATTTCCATTCATTGACTGAAGCATCGATTCTTACTTTACTAAGATAATTTTTCATAGTAGCAAATACATTGATTCTACATTAATCAAAGTACTTATGCACTATAAGGGTACAAAGAATGTACGTTAACTTCTGAGGATTTTTGCAAGGAACAACGTTATAAAATATTTTGCAGCTATGAAGAGTTTCATGTATTAACTACATTCTTAGTCACTCAGACATTTGTGACTCAAATCAGAGAATTTAAAGCAAATCTAATCAATCCTGAAGTACGAATAAAGAATGCAAGTGAAATTCTAAGGATTTTTTGTGAAGGAAGAATAACATGTTAAATAATTTCGAAGTTCGTTTCTATTGGCCAGTTGCCATGCCGGGTTATGATTCTCTTGTCGTCGGCACAGCTCTATACATGTGTACACTACAAGACTAATTAATTTCTCTGTTTGTGTTGCAATTTTAAACGCACTGACAACACGCTGCCTTCTGTGTCTTCAAACAAAGGAGACGTTCTCTTCCCATATCTCCACCAAACTGACTTACATACGGCTTATCATTGGACAATAATATATTTCAAACATTCATACTAACGTCATCAACTACCCTGAATTTTGTAAAAGGCATGCAGAAAGTTTCAATTGAAAAGGGGGTCGGGTCTTCTCTTATGTGCATTCAATGCTGCCACCAATCCCGACTTGAACACAAATATAAACAATATACACATTCTAAACATTTCAAACTCTCCTCCGTCATTAAAAGGTGTATAGGGTAACTGTTTTAGTTTACATGTCGGTTGTACACCCGGAAAATGGAAGGCATTCAGGTAACTGCTGAAAGCGCCGGGCAAGAAAGGGTCCGCACACACACTCACCTATTTCAAATGTTGCTGTTTCTCATGACTAATGAAGATGGGCAAATCCTGCCCCGTTTACACTACGCTCATGGCACGGATAAAATTGGTACCTGTACCTCTTTTCGTGGTGTAAACGGGCTTTAAACCTATCTGTAACTGAGTATACACCGCCCTATGTCTTCAAACATGAAACTTTTTCCTTAATCCCCTACTCTATACTCAATCATTATCAATCTAAAAACATTTTACAAAGAGAATGTTGTGGATTGATAGGGATACAACTATACTTGAAAAAGACAAAACTTCGACATTTCGGGCAAAGGTCCTCATTCCTAACTTTCCGACGAAGAGCTCGAAACGCCGAAGTTCTCCTTGTATTTTTCAGGTAGTTGTATCCCTATCTATATCCACATCTTTCTTATTTTCATCACTACCTACAGATCGTCCGAGATTTGATCTAAAACATGCTCTAAGTATTCAAATACTGCGCACAAATGCATGTCAAAAAGCTTTGAGTATACTCGGAACATTGTTTCAAAGCAGAAGTATTTTAAAATAGCGTCATGCTGATTTTACGGGTGGCCGGTGAAACTCAAAGTGTGCGTTATTGTTGTTTTTGAGGCTTGAGTTGAGCTAACTCGTGAACTTTAATCTCTTCTTGTGGTAAAACGCAGAAACATTGAGTACAATATATTGCTTTGAATGTATTAATGAACATTAAATATTGATCTAGGCATATAGGGGCCTAACAACGTTGACCAAAAAAGGTATCAATCGTCTAGTCTTTGCAGCTTTAGTGTTTAAGATAAAAATCGTTGATTAGCCGTTACACCGGAAAAGCGCAATAAATACATCATGTTGTTTAAAAAAATGCAACGTGCAGCACTTCAATAATCTCCTTCTTGCTTGGATATGCCGGGTAATAATATTCTATATACGTTAGCTAAATATGTAACATTTATATAACACATTGGACAAAAAGAATAATCTGATTAATACTATAGGAATATCGCACTTATCAGATCGTAAACAAGAGCACTGTATCATTCTATTTTAGTGTATTTAGAAAGTTAAGATAACTCTATTTTATTACATGTCTATTTCAATGACGAAAACCTTTATACAAATCTAAACTTTGTTGGAAAAATTTGAAAAGATCTCGATTGATGACTTGAAGATAACTCTCTAATCATATTTTACTGTTATATGTTATATCATTACCGCATTATCTTTTATCTCTATCTATAAAAGATGTATAATACTATATAAGAATGTCAAACCACTCCGGCTAGAAATATTATAAGATTCCTAACTTCTACTGTTGTTCCTAAAGTGTTACAAGTATTATATGTCAGTTAAGAATATCAAATAAAAGTTTGTTTGCCGTATTAAAACAATTATTCAAGTCACAGGTAAACAGAAAAACACTATATTTGTAAGGAAACAATTGCAAGGACTCGTGCATGCTGACAAGGACCGCATTCATTAGACAACGGTGCTCTTTCTGCGTTGATGTGCTCTAAAAATAACTTGCGCAAAATGAGCGAAAGACTTAGTATTAAATATTTAGAGAGATCTCGCATAATCGATTGCTCAGTCACTCACAAATTTACATCAATATTTCACAGGCAGCAAAATGAAAGCCTAAATTGAACAGCTACGAATGTAGGCGAAGTTGTTATAACTATACTAGAATACTAAAATCTATGACTAAAACCTGTATATGAACGCATAATGGATGGAAAAAGTGAGCGAACGATTTAACCGATTAAATATTTAGAGACTTGATATAACCGATTGCTCTTGTCGCCTCTATAGCGAAACCCTAAAAACCCATCTTCAGGATTCTTCATCAGAATAGTTTCGAAAGGAACAAAATGTACGTTGGATTGAAAAGAAACTTGGAAAATATTGAGAAATGATGACTTTTAAATATTCAGTTAAATATAATTGCATTTACTCATATTGAAATCAGTCAATGCTAGGGATCGCAAAACACAGTGAAAGCCTATACCAGTACATATAGCTTTTCAAAAATATCAGATTTCTATACGGAGCTTAGTGAATAAGACCTATATTCAACATATAACTTGGGAAAATATAACTATGATAATTTCATATATCTTAAGAAGCTTTGAGGGCACGACAAATGCAAATCTTCGTAATTACAGCTTAATTGACATTGCAGCAATGGGGTGCTTTTATTTTTTTGTACCAAAATATAATTAGACTGTATGATTGAGGCTTTGTTATACGGCGCGTGTGCATGAATTAATGAATATTTGTATTTGTATGTGAGATAATGTTGAGACAAAAAGAGCACACGCGTCATTAATAAGTCGCACGCGTCATCCACATTAACTCATTACGATTTACACTGCCCTACAGAGAAGATCTCAAGAAGGAAAAGTTCAATCTCGAGCAGTCAGACCATTCAAGGAGTAAAGCAAAGCAGCTAGACAAGACAGTTCACCGTCATTGACATTGCACCACGAGCTCCCTGACCGTCTCTACAGTCAGAAGACAACTTTCTTGGAGGAGTGAAGTAGGTCCACCATAGAACTGTGTATCTTCCCAACTGCAAACAGCAACAGCCAACGACCGTTCCGAGCGCACAAGATCAGAGGAACACTGCACGCATCATAAAACACATAGAACAGTCATAAAATATAAAACCGTAATCTACGAACTCTCAACCTGAAGTCATTTTGAGTTGAGTTGAGCTGGTGCCCAAAAGTAAAGACTCAGAGAAAAACATCAAAAACGTCTGAAGGGCTAAACTACATCACTTGGACGAATCCTCTTGATCAGACCTTATCAGGTAGCTTTCAACCAAAAACAGCCACAGCCAACAACTGAGTTAACGCCTAACTGAAAATGCCACGATCATTTCTAGTAAAACTCCGCGCAAAGAAAAACACGCCAATGATTGAAGACGATATTGAAACTACGAAAGGTAAGTACATTACACTATCTGATTCCATATGTACTTTACAGGAAGCTTTATCATTAGTCTGCCCTCGAGCAATTCTTTCACGCCAGGTTAATTATGCATAGCGTTACTCTACCGGCCGTTAGTCATCTCACGGATTCAAAAAAGACAACATGTCATAGAGCGGAGTTTATTCAGCAGGGAAGATGTTTTACTACCTACTTGCCTGGAAGACAGAACTATTTTCCCTTTCGAAGAATTAACCAAAGGAAACGTGTTCCCTTTTCTCACTGAAAGATTGAAATGTCGAGATGCGGGTAAAATAGTTACGCCACCATGCATGAATTAAAAATCTCTAGACAAGCAAACGCAAGTGGGAAAAGGTTCGAGTTTTTTGAAAGCTAACAATATATCTTCTTTTACAGAATCATCGTCTGAGTTTCCAGAGCAAGAGATTTCCACACCTATCAATTACAACTTTGGTTTCCTTCCTAATGATTATCTACAACCGTTTAACTTCTATCATCCAGCCTTTACATTTGGAGCAAAAAGAAACCAATGTAGTCCAGTAGCAAAGATATTTGATCCACTAACCTTGAATCTGACCTGGCCGTTTGTCCCCAGATTGATCGAGGATACATTTCAAATGCGAGCAAAAGTTCTCAATGAACGACCTCCTGAACAGACAACAGAAGATGTCATCATTCCCTCGCCAACAAAAAGTGAGGACAGCGGTCCAGCAAGTCAACCTTTCTTCCCCATAACATTCCTGCCCAGTCCCCCTCAGCTACAAGAGAATGCAGAGCCACAGCCTGCCCGAAAAAACACCCGTCGAAGGAGAGGAAATGCCAACAAAACATTTTCATGTCAAATCTGTGGAAAAATCTTCAACGCTCATTATAACCTAACACGACATATGCCAGTTCATACCGGAGCCCGCCCTTTCAAATGTAAAGTCTGCGGTAAAGGATTCAGACAAGCAAGTACTTTATGTAGACATAAAATCATTCACACCCAAGACAAACCTCACAAATGCAAAGAATGTGGAAAGGCTTTCAACCGCTCCTCCACTTTGAATACGCACATGCGTATTCATCTTGGATACAAACCTTTTGTTTGCGACGTATGTGGAAAAGGGTTTCACCAAAAAGGAAACTATAAAAACCATCGTTTAACGCACACGGGAGTCAAAGCGTTCCAATGTCATCTTTGTGGAAAAGCGTTTCATCAGGTGTACAACCTTACATTTCACATGCACACACACAACGATAAAAAACCTTATACCTGTGAAAAATGTGGAAAGGGATTTTGTCGAAACTTTGATCTTAAAAAACACATGAGAAAATTACACGAAGCCAGCAGTTAAGACTAGAACGCGTCTTAAATTATCGGAAGACCTCTCTCAAGACTGATTGCACGTGACGGAGACAGCTAGGGAAGCTGTTGTTAATTTTATGATACATAACTTGACGTAAAACAATTAAATATATTGATGGCCATGTGCCACTGTGTATATATATATACATTTATAGATGTATAAATATATTAGCTTATATTTTAATATATAAAAGTGGACTATAAAGTTGGATAGTAGAAATGTAAAAGTATTTATCTATTATAGTATATAATAAAGCAAAGTGTATAAGAACTTGAAATAAATTTAAAATCTTATTCGAAAACGCATTTTTTAATTTCTCTTTATTCTGTAACAATGCTTTGAAAATATTCTATACTTAGTTCACAAAATAACAACCCATACAGCGTTTAGACTTTGCTCTCCAACAAAAAATCACTCTGATATTTAAAGATCTTGTATATAGATTCATTAAATAATCTCATTAATGTTTTCAAAACTTATTACGTAGGCCTAAGGATACGCTTAATTATATTGGATCTCGTATTTAAATATATTGGTTATACACGTAATTGATACATCTGTCTGGTTAAAATAACTTGTATAGAAAAACATACTGTGGCAATTTGTTTATGCGTTCAGACACATGGCAATGATTTATGTAAACTATGGCATTGAATTTGAGCTCTTTTGCCTGCATGTGGCTGCTGGTACGTTCGATACACCCAGGAAATGGGGGTTCTAATTCTAATTCTAATTCTGGTTCTAGTTCTAATTCTGTTTGCTTTTACTCTATTAATGTTCGACACAAGCACAACTTGAAGCAAAAGTTATTTACAACACAGCTTCATATTTCAAACATTATCAGCTGTCAAGATAAAAGCTTTCTATTTTCAAACAGTCCATCTCCAATCTTAACAACAATGATCAATATATTTTGATTACCGTCCAATATATTGATGAAACATCGTTTCATGCATCAAAATTTAATTAGAGTTTAGAGTAAATGATAGTAGCAATGAAAACAAAGTTTAATTGATTCTAGAGGGATCAACTATCCTTATGTCAGTCAAGGAAGTTTAACTGATCTCGTTTGAAATGTTCATTTAATGAATATTCTCTATCAATAAATTGCATGCTATATAATGTATAGAAGAGATGCATGGCAGAGCTGCATTAGATATATGTGTACCGACTACTATTCTAACTTATTCTAATTGAATTTTCTTTATCAATCAATTGGTATAATGTGTAGAAGAAGAAGGGATCCTGAGAAACATTTGCCTTAGCCACTAGGATTTTTTCACGCACACGTCAACTAAATTAATTCCTTATCTATTAGTTAATACAAATACAGTCAAGTATACTGTTGTTCAACTAATTCCATTGGTTTTACGCTCTTTATCAAGAAAGTGTTCAGGTATAGAAGAAGAGGATGAAAAACATTAGATATTATAGTGTACTGACTACTGTTCTAAATGAATATTTATCTTTACCTTGATCTCTTGAATATTCCTTAATGTTGGTTAAACGTTTCCAAAACATGTAGACTGACCTGGTGCAAGGATTTCAAATTCAAAGGGCAGTATAGTTCTCCTCTAAAAAGAGAAATTGCATCCAATGATCTCTATGTTTTAATACAGCAATTTAATACAGCAATTCTTATTAATATGTTTGAGTTATCTGGTTTCTCTAGAAAACATGCCCCCACGTTGCAATCTTGGACGATGTTGGATTCGTTGAAATGGGGTTAAATGAACATATCGAGATTTTGTTGGCATCTCGCTCGATTCAATAATAGTTGAAGGGTCTTGTAGATGAAAATTATCAAGTGGGAATTTATGTACATTTATTAAACCTAACCAGGAGGCAGGAACAGCCGCGAAAAATGCAACTCGCGGCTGTTCCTGGTATAAGGTCTAATATAAATTTCACTCCGGCGATAATTTCCATCTACAAGACCCGCCTTCAACTGTTAAATGCACACAGCGTTTTACATGCACAACTGACAGTGAAGTTTATTAACCAAGAAGCGACATGAATACAGTAAAACCCACATATAAGAACCTAGATTTTCCAAGGTCCTTACGTAAATGATGCTTACCAGGAAATTAGGCTAGACAGGTTCTTAAATAAGTTCTTAGTTTCTTAAGAGAAAAGCGACTCACTTAGGGGAGGTATGGTATATGATTTACGTCAATTATGCACAAATGATCAAAAACTGAATAACATGCAGTGTATGCACTAATTGCGGGAACCACTGAGTATTTTCATAAAATACAATACAACGGTAACTCCGAATAAAGTAAGCATTTTGATTCCGGCAACGTTTCGACTTTATTTAGTCATCATCAGGAATGGTTATATTACAAGTGCATGCGTTATATATACTCTACGTAATTTGATATATAATTAAAAGAAAACCGATAGTTCTCTGGATGCTTTAGTCCCATGATTCAGTTCCGGTTTTTGTCGATGAATGGTGAGTGCTTCTTTGAACAGCAGATTTGACCAGTGCTTAGCCCTGTCTATAATGTTGCAGTTGTTCAGTAGGAAGGCTGTTAGGTTAAATTGGTCAGTGTTGGGTTCGTCTATGTTCAGTTGTAATATTTGTATGCACTACAGTATACCAACTCTACATGCACTTTAAAGCTACAGTAGATACGCTGATTGTAACTTATGACTTAATTAATTTTGACTCTATTTGATAATATAAGAATTTGTTTTAAAATTCTAGCCTGAACAGGTTCTTATCTAAAGGGGGTCTAAATGAAATATTTTAGCCTAACAGGTTATTAAATTCTAGGTTCATATATGCGGGGGTTTTACTGTAGGTGGAAATGGTGTATAGTGTAGAAATGAACTTAATAATTAAAACTTCAAACAAACAGATTTTCCGTTAAATGCCTTGGCATTGGTGCATGAAATGCTCCAAATATTTTAAATAGTTTGTAACGGTAAAAACACCATGCTTCATTAAGCCTTTTACTCCAAGACAATGAACATATTCAAGCGTGTTACGCCTGCGTGTTGCGTGGGAGTCCACTATAATCAACGGTTGTGGTCGGAACCACGTGAAATTAAAAGATGAAAAAACGTCCACGCGTTTTGAACGGAGGACTTTGGACTGAAAGTTAGATGAAGAACGAAGACCGTTTCATGAAATTTCGGACAAAACGAATTGATGTCATAATTCAAAACACTGCCTTATGACACTGCCATTCCTACTTTAAAACTAAATATTTCATTGTTTTGCTTTTTGGCGCGCTATTACTACTGTGGTAGGTCTGGGCGAAATATGCTCTTGCAAGCAAGGAAAAAACAGTTATGTGAATAGACTCAGCAACTCCAAAACCAAACCAAACACTAGATAAATTATATTAACTTTCAAACAAACTAAGAAACAGCATATAAACACTAAAATGCTTGCTATGATCCCCCGCTTGTTCAGGAATGGTGTTCAATTAAAGCTACACAAAGCACAGAGCAATTAACTCCCGCCAAGAGGCAGGACAAAATATCAAAACCAACCCTGGCCACGTTCAATTACACAGCTAGACGTTGTTATTCGAGCACGTGGACGTGGTCAGTTCAAAAACAAAATTGTTGATAGTACTTAAGAACTAAAAATACGACTTTGTATTTTTAAAATCCAGAAGTTAGCATGTGCTGTTTTTTAGAACTGAAGTAGTAAAGCCAGTTACAGACAAGCAAATTTTCTATGACAAGTTTTGGCAAGTTTTATTGGTCAATGGACCTTTAACCTTATAACTAAAATTTTGATCTAGACAAAAATTTCATCACAGCTTGAAAGAGCATCACAAAATTAGTAATACAGTTCCGAAGTTTCGTTACGAAATGTTGTAAAATGCGGATA